AACCATGCAGATTTTGTCGAATACAATCAATACCAAATGGCAAATACAAATAAAGGAAACTACAATACAAGTATGCAAAGTACAAGGAGTCGTTAAAACTATTACTAATGCATCCGCTATGAGTTACATATTTATCTTTTTCTGTTTCTTGAAAGTTTTCTTTCCTCCATTACGTTGTCTCAGTTGTCAGCCATGCCTGTCCTTTAGGCCCTCTGTATTTGGACTTCCATATGCAGTATTTGTTTCTAAAGCACTCAGACGCTTATCCTTTATAACCCTCGCTCTGACACCGCCCAGTCAGTCCCATAAGTAGGTGTCAAGTTCCCATAAAGCTTCTCCTGAACTTCCTGTCTGAGCTGCAGAGCTGCTCTGACATCAAAGCTCACTGTAGTAGTCACTCGAAGTATTTACAGTGACTTGGAAAAGTATTCATTTCCCATTTTTGTCATTTTACAGCTGCAAACTTCTATGTAATTTAGTGGGATTTTATGCATTTACATAAAGTGTGTGATGGTGAAGTGGAAGGTCGGATTAAGATGAATGCCTCATAAAACCTTTGACAAATAAAAATCTGAGAAGGCTGACCTCAAAGGTTTGAAAGAGAGCATTATTTAACTGAGGATGAGGTTCACCTTCCAACAAAACTACAGTTTTAGTTTTGTTGGCTTAAGTAAAGTACTGGTGTTTACGTAAAAGAGTATGCAGTTTGACATTTAAACGAGTATGCAACCATTTTTGTTTCAAGATGTTCAAAGCTAGTAGAGGCATTCTCCAAAAGACCAGCAGTCGTTCAGGCTTTGAACGATGGAGCTACAAAGCATGTGGAAAAATTTAAAGTATTATGTTTCCATCTTTGTGCTATTTTGTGTTCTTTCATTTAAAAAACACTCAAGATTGTGGTTGTTACCTGAGACTAGTAAGATGAAGAGGTATGACATTTTTTGCAAGACACTAACATATATTTATATGTGTCTACTTGACTGAGGCCAAAGATTAAGTTTTCAAATTATTCTTCCAAGAAGATGCAAGGAAATGTTTAAATCTTTGTTGGAAATTTAAGCTCTTACAGCAGCTTATGGTTTCCCTCTAAGACTTCAAGTCTTGCTGGCGAGAAACCTGATTATTTAATCCATCTAATCCATCTTCATATAGATGTAGGGTGGTAAACTGGAATTAAAGCTACGCAAAGCATTAACTTCTACTTGTGTCAAGCAACAGAAGTATATCCCATTTTCCTGTGGAGTTTAAACGTCCAAACAAAAGGCTAGAGGTTAAACCACATCCTCATCTCACAGCTGCTGGACCTTTAACACAAAACAATGGGGCTATTCTCCAGAGTTTCCCACTTTAACCTTTGATTACTTTTAAATATTGAGGCCTCAACATGGGAGTCGGAGGTGAATAAAGAACCAATTGGATATGGATTTGAAAGGTCAATCAATAACCAAGTGAAATGTGTGTGACAAGAAGACCATGGGTTGATTTTCAATTCAGTTATGGTGACGTAAATTGCTGAGCAAGCCAGGATATTTGTTTTGGAAGGTCATACAATTGAACAGGGTTGGGGACACCTGCCGTTTATTTGTTTGTTTGGGGCAAACAAAACCAGCTGACAGGATATTTTTCTGTTTTTCTTTCAGATATTTCCAGGATCGCCTACTACACAGGTGAGCAACTGACCCTCAGACACAATCTGAGATCATTCAGCTGCTTCATTCATTCATACATAACATAAAAAATGACATCAACTGGCTCAAGTGTTGTGGAAACAGATTTACTTGTTTCTTGCTAGAACTTGCGCTTGATTTGCCACATTTAAATTAGTACTCTATTTCTGCTACCTGCTAATAGTCCATGTGAATAAAGTGTAAAGAAAATGAAAATAATCTTTAAGAATAAACATAAACATGGCAGCTTGGACTCCAGATGATGGGAAGAAAATGTATTGGAAACATTTGTAAGTATGTTGAAGAGTACAAGGTAAAGATTTTGTAAACATAGATGTTCTCAAATGGATTTAAGTCTGTTGACTGGGACATTATAGCACATGAACATACTTTCATTTACACCACTCCGTTGTAGCTGTTTTCTTTCAGGATTGTTCTGCATTTAGCACTCATGTTCTCCGTGTTCTCTGACCTGTTTTCGTCTATCTGGTGAAGAAAGGCATCCCCACAGAGTCATTTCTGCGTTCAGTGTTTTCTTCCGCGTACAGTGCTCTTCATTTTGGTTTCATGCACCACCTTCTCGTACATCAGGGGTTCACAACCCACACTGTAAGATTATTTATTTTGGTAACACGGAACCATCCGTTCCTGTTTTTCTGTCGGTGTACTTGACACATATGAAGTTTTGCAGCTTGCAGGGAGCTGGGAGGGCAACATGTAGCCCTGATCAAAGTTTGTTATTGTAGTTGCGATCACTTCGGTTATCCAGCAGATGCTTTCCCTTAAACTATCAGTTCATGCAATTAGTTAAAAATGCATTTATATTACATCATTACTCCCTTACACTTATATTTATAGAACATCCTTATGATATCAACAATAAGTTTATCAGTTAGGTAATGAAGTTAGAACATAACAAACATAGAAGAACAGCCATGGCTCAGGCCAGTATTTGGGAAAATACCAAAAAGCATATGCATTTTATGAATGCTGTAAAGTTAAAAACAAGGCTTGAAAATAAACAAGCAATATACTGATCAATATGCTGGTTATTGATGCTCTGCACATTTTAGGCAATTTGCTAAAGATTATCAAGTAATTTTTATTACAGAAATGCAGTTACATATAATAAATAATTGTAAATAATAGTATAACTCCAAGTTTATAAGCATAATTATAATTATACTAAAAACACCTGATAACGTTAAAACAATCATTCTAAACCGGTGGTTTCCAAACTGTCAAGCTTCTGAATCAAAGAATACAACTACAATATTCTTTTATGTTAAATACCTTTATTAAATATGTTCAAAGTATAAAATCTAAGCAGAACATTTTACTATTTTTCTTATTTTAGGAAGTGCTTGTCTTTAACTTGAAAGACTTTGTAAGGAATATAATTTTTTTTTCACTGGGAAGTAATAATTGCAGACAAATGTACAGATCTTAGGTGATCTGTTTAAATTATGTACCAGATTGATAATGTTCTCACTCATGCTAAGAGAAAAAAAATAATAATTAAAAAAAAAATAGTTTTGGCTCAGTCCCAGTGGAGATCTTCCCATTCATGGCAACATCCGGCCCCTCTGACAAAAGGCTTTTAATAGCCCCCACCAGAACACACAAACCCCCAGCTCCCCAGAAGATTTTCATAACAATGGACTAAAGCCCAAGATGGACCACAAATTATAGGAGAGCTGCTTGTGCACACGCGCATGAAAAGGCAGAGTTTTATGGCTGCTCAGCTTGGCTGTCTGGAGACAATCCTGATTTAGGATTTTACAGGTTTGTCAATGATTGCTTAGCGATCGATGGAAGCTGATCCAGTTCTTTATCTGGGCTTAATTGCATGTTTAAGGATGCTAATTGTAAGAAAATTACTCTTTTCATTTTTTTAATACTTTGTCCCAACATTTTGTTCATTGTGTCATAAATTCTGTGATTTATGATGTAACCCTGGTATAAATAAAAGAGAAAAATGAGAATAAAATAAATTGGGAAAAAAGAACAGAATGGAGTTTGTTAGGTTTCGATATGACGGTGATGGAAACCAAGTAAGTATATTAATTGAAATATTTAGCTATGGTCTTTCAGATTTTTTGACATGACCATGTCTTATACTTTTTTTATGTTAATCATTTGTTGGTGGTTTGGAAAGAAGTGGCAAGAAATCGACTGTGTTTCTGTAAAATCTTGCGTTTATGCGTCTTAATTGTAAGCTTTTAAGTTATTATGTGGTAACAAAACTACAAACCCCATAATTAGAGGTGCCATCAATTATCCATAGATGAGCAATGATCTGTTTTTCTTGACTTGTTTTCAAATGCTAAAATTAAACATTTTTCCCTATTGATTTAATGCATAAGAAGTAAGAATATAAATAATATAAATACATCAACCAATAGTATCAATGCTCTTTTCCTTTGCGTTTAAAAAATAGGGAGATGCTGGAATGCTTAAATAGGAAAAAAAATTTGTTGTTGGATAAAAAATCCTCTATGGATAAATTTGTAAAATGACTTTTATGTGCTATAGCTTTTAGATGACAGTAAATGCTTTTAAATAACAAAAAATATTTTAATTGGCCAAAATCTAAAGTTTCAGGTCAGTCCTAAGGAAAGCCATAACCAGTCAGGAAGTGTAATCTAATCAGACCATCTTTACCCATGAAGGCATTGAAGCAATAATTGTTGGAAGGAATTTTTCCCGGGACATTCAGACGTTTCTGCAAAACAGCTCCTCAAAATTTAATTGCCATTTTATTTAGGCAATTAAAATAGCGAAAATTATTTGCTATCCGCTCGCAGCTCTTCCATCATAAAACAGTTAAAGTTTGATTTTTAATTATTGACTAAAACTCTTGTTATAAAGCATATCATATGCTGTAGGAAAGGTTTGAAGTTGAGCAGATTAGGTCATATGCTAGAAAAAAGCATTACTAATTTAAGTTGATAAACTTATATTTCATTTCAGTTATCAACTTTTTGTTTCATATTTCTTTTAAAGTGAATTTAAATCAAGATGTCTGAAGAAAATCTTAAGTTTTCATTTGAATTGAGATGGGTTTGCATTTCTAAGCAACCTGAACTCAAATATGTTCACTTCTGTCCTTTGCTAAATAAAGTAAACTTTTCTTCATGGAAAATCTGTATTTTACATTCCTTGAGTCGCTTTTATAAGCGTAAGATTAGAGATAAGCTTCATGAGCAAAGGTGGGAGTGTTCTTGTGTCAAATGGAGAGGAGCGAATTAGCATATTAATAGTTTTTAGCTCCTCCTCCTCCACCATCATTCCCCTCTGGATGGAGTGCTCCCATTTCTCCCTCAACTTTCTTTCAGTTGTGTTGCTCTGTCCTCGTTTTCCTCTCATTCACTTGGAAATAATCGCTGTATTCCTCCCCATTTCTGTCTCTGCTTCCTTTGTTTAGGCGGCTCAATCTGTCCTCTCACTTTCTGTTTCCAACAAGAGACGATAACTCTGCGTTTGTTTCTCTGAAAGCGCAGTAATTGCTGCTCCTTCTCTTTGAGCACCAGAAGACTGAAGCTCCTCTGGATCAGCAGCGTTTTGTATGAGCTGGATTTGCCTTTGTGTTCTCGATAAAGGAGAATTTTACCCCGCAACCTGGCGGCTTTATTCTCTCCCCTGAGCAACAGTTGCTTGAAACTTTCACAGTGACCAAGACGAGGGAGGTCAAGCACAAAGCGTTGTTTGAGTCTGGAATCTAACAGAAAAAAGACACTAAGGAGTAACTATGGAGCGGACAGAAAAGGAAGGGCATTGAAGTTTTGAGGGTCTCCAGGGAACCGTGTTGTTCTGTGTGACTTTGGATGAAAGAAACATATCAAGAGGACAAGTTTTGTTGAGCTGAAACGCCTCCCGGATTGGCCACTCTGGAGTATTTTTATGCTGTTTTCAACACTTTAAAAATGGGCCTTCTGTCAATTTTACTCCGTTGGAAGTAACATTTTGCAAACTGTTGTGCAAGAGCTGCTTTGCCCCTTGAAGGATGTATTTTTGTGTAAATTAGCGTTCCGATTATGTAAGAGCCTTCTGAAAGGCGTCTCAGGATCCTGCTGTGCTTGTTTATTTGACTTCGGTGCGTAGCGATGCGAGGCTGTGAAGCGCCGAGCTGCCTCTCCGTCCTCGGAGCAGACAGGCACAGGAAGGGGCAGACATGCGTTTCTATGGCGATGAGCGGCTGCAGTCCTTTCCCCTTGTGCTGGGACCGAGGTATGAATGAAATCTTCTCAAAGCACACTCTCAGGAACATGCAACAAGGAGCATGAGACCACTCACTGCGTGACACCTGACTCCATGGGAACTGGAGTTGGTATACCGGGAAAGCTACCAGTTCTTGCAGCAGACTGTGTGTTTGTATATGTCTGCTGGTGTGTGTGCGCGTGTGTGTGTGTGCGTGTGCACTCTCTCACCGATCCTCCCAGGTGCAATTACCTTCCAAAACGTATCCATTTTCTTCTAATGGAGGACAAGCACAGGAAGGAAGTAAGGGAAGCAGAACAATGAAACTTGAGGCAGATCTGAAGCTCTGCTTTCTGATATTGACGACAGAGCAACACGTTTATGTTTCCAGATGAAGTATACAGGAAGTGTGTCAATGTCAGCACTTCTTATTCAGGATAACATGGCAGCCTGTGGTGCATTGTCTGCTCTGGTTTATAGCTACAGTAGGATACTTGGCCCTGGCTGCGATTGCGTCGTTTTATTTCTCTCTGGTATCTTATTGTTCATTGTTTTTTTTTAATATTTCCAGAAAACAACTCTATTGAAGAATGGATACTTGCTGTACAGCATTTGCGTCACAAATGACAGGAAGGCCAGAGTAGGAAAAGTGAAGCGAGGAGGACTCGATGTGCAACGTTAGCGCTGGAAAAATCTGGAGTTGACAGTAGATTTTATTGTTCAACCAACAACTTATTTACGACTACCATTCAGTATTTGTATTAGAGTTATTGTGTTTTACACCTGAGGTTGAATTTAAACAGATTTATTTTTGTTCTGGTAGGGTTTTTAGAAAACATTTCTAAAGAAGTTATAAACTGTATTTAGTGGACCATAATGACTCTTTAAGTAAAGCGCCAAACAATAACACCAATATCCAAATTTGCTGTCTGCTCACGTACTCAGATGACCCCCGATGAAACATTCACGTCAATTAAGAAGTTATTAATTTTATGAGTTCAACTTTTGAAAATTATAAAACATGCAAAATTTTAAAACTTTCCTTTTATTTCTTCCTTTAACTTACCTCACCTTTTTCTCTCTGAACCCTGCAGAATATGACAGACACCTAGCAGCGGCAGTCTCAGCAGGGAAAACCATGGCAACAGCCTATATGGACCCCAACCTGAACAATGCCTTCCTAGCAGGCGCCAAGTCTCGGCTGAGCGCAGGAGGATCGGACCGCACCATGGCTGGATCCGTGGACAGGGTTCTGAAAGTCTTCCATTACTTTGAGACCAACATTGAACACAGCTTCTGGTCTTCCAACATCAGATACGGAGATGCAACTGATGTCAGGGTAAGAAACGCATTCACCTGTTAACTCCTGCAGAGAAGGCTTTTTGTTCTAGAAATGCTTTAAGTTAAGACATGTTACAGCTTCTCAGTGTATATTCCATAAGTTACTGAACCAGTAGCTCTAACATGAACCAAGCACAACACAATAGTCTTAGAAGTAAGCCCGAAAAGTACGTTTGAGGTTTGTAACTTGCACGGAAGTTTTGAAATTCAGCTTACATTCATTACATGTAGGTGGTGTGATGTAACAGGTTTCCTTTCCAAGACGTTAATCGTCCTATTACATAAAATCCACAGTGGCTTTCTTGTTGTCGGTGCTGGGTTTGACCTAGAAGTTACAGTAATTGACCAAAAACAAAATTAACTGTATACATGAAAACATTTGCAGCAGGCAAACTGTTGACAAGAATGACATAAAATGACTCCCATGATATTTTACTTCTAAGACTTGTTAGATGTTACTAACAGTTACTGTCATTCAAAGAGAGAAACCTTTGAGTAAAAGTAATTTTTTTTTGACATTGAGCTTGAGGCATGAATTCAAATATCACAACAGTTGTTTTAAGACAAAAGCAATATTGTTACCAGCTACAAACCTGCACAAGTAATCCAGTATAACACATCAGTCATATACAAACTAAAAAGAAGTGATCCATAAACTGAACCTTGGGGTATTTTGTTTTTTGAAAGAAGGGTTTAAAACATAACATTAAAAGTTAATACTCTGAAGCAGAGTTAAAAGTGAAAATTTTCAGATGTTTTTACACCAAGCTGTCAGCTCTGATTACAAAAACTCAACACAAGCAGCTTTTCTTCTTGCATGCATCTTCAGGGGACAATTTTTGTGTTTATTTAAGCTGTATTGAAACACGCCTTTCATTTGAACCATGACAGAAAGTACCTAACTCAGTGTGAATTGTTAGTGGTCATGCAGGATATTATTACTGCAAATATCCGCCCCACTCTTCTTCTTTAATCCCCATCTTCTTTGGTATCTAGGTCAGAGCCCTCAGCCCTTTTCATGGCAACACACATGGTTCTCTGAGCATTATTATGGACGTATGATGTCTGCCAAGTTGTTTGGGTGGGGGCATAATGTTAAATCGCTTGGAGTCAAAAATGTACACAAACACACACGCACTTCTTGACCCGAAACAAAATGTAAGATGTGAACATAACCACCCTAGGAAGTGTTTGGTGGAGCAGACATAAATGTTTGATTCTGTACAGATGTGCAGGTAGACTGAAGAAAAATGGATAAACAGATTAGTTTAGCCCTAGTTGACATTCCTACCTTCTAACTTATTGTCTCTGTTTCTTCATGAATGCAGGGGATCATCCAGAAGATTCTGGACATCAACAAGGTCCGTTGGACGTCATGTTTTGGCCTCCGACTCAGCAACAGTCAGTCCAGAGACCAAGTGCACTGGCTTCACCCGGATATGGGCGTGTCCCACATCAGGGAGAAATACGAACAGGCACGGCCCAATGAGGAGTGGAGGTAGGACAGGACAGGCAGGACAGTGGACTATGTGATTAAATTCAGCCTCATCTCTTCTGTTTGGGTGACACGAGACTAGTTTACTGAACAGTAATGATGTGGTGTGTGGATCACCTGTGTCCAGCAAGACAAGTATGGAAATGACAGAAAACCCAAAAGGCTTACAAAGCAACTTTTGCAGTATAACTGAATACAAAAAGTTTTTTTTTTGTTTGTTTTAGCCTTGAGCAGGGAGAACAGTTTCTCTTTCCATCTTTTTGGCAACTCAAGTGAGTTGTCCAGGTTCTGTCCACATTCATTGCAATTTTTCTTGTACAATACATTGTTACATATTACATTTAAAATACAATTCTAAACAGGTGTGTTTTTAGTTGAGATTTAAAGGAAGTCAGGGTTCCTGCTGTTTTACAGTTTTATGAAAGTTTGTTCCAAATGTTTGGTCCATAGATGCTGAAAGCTGCTTGTCCTCTCTTGGTTCTGGTTCTGGGGATGCAAAGCAGACCAGAACCAGAAGACCTGAGAGGTCGGGAAGGTTGATACAACAACAGCAGATCTTGATGTATTGTGGTGCTAAACCGTTCAGTGATTTGTAAACTAACAACAGTATTTTAAAAACTATTCTTTGAGCTACAAGGAGCCAGTGGAGGGACTTTAAAACTGGTGTTATGTGCTCTATCTTCCTGGTTTTAGTGAGAACTAAATATATATATATATACACACACACACAGTGAGCTGACTGGATAGCTCAATATTCTTTTCAAAGAGGATGGATGGTTTTGTTTGTATCTTAAAAAGCACATTTTTAGAAAACCTGGACCTTTCCAATTGGATTTCTGCTTTAGATTGGCATGACTTTTATGGGCATTCAAAGTCACCCCACTAATTTACCGTCAGCAGTCTGTCACGCAGCACTCCAAAGTGGCTGATTTATTTTCAAACAGCATTGGAAGTATTGGTGTGACCTGAGTGTTTTTCAACCTTGTGTGTGGGGCTATTTACCCTGCATGTTAAGGCTGTAGTATATTTTCACTTTATTGTGGCAGTCTTAGTGCTAGTGCTGCTGTGAGGAGGAGACCTTTTCTTTGTGAACATAAAGACAGAGCAAGAACCAGATGCCTGCTTTGTCTCGCTAAGTCAACAACATTCTCTTTGTTTGCATCTCTGTCAATGAAGCTGGTTTACAATCCTCATTTGTATTCTTTCCCAGAGTGGTGATGTTTTTTAATGCGATTTGTCCTTAGTCCTTTTTGGTCCTTTTTCTGCCTTTTCTGATTTGTATTTAAGGAATAATTATTTCTTTCTTAAACTTGTGGCAGTTTCCTTTACTTATTCCCAACTAACAAGCATCTGGGTGTTGGCACATTATTTATTATTGGCAATCTTACATTTGCATAATTAAATAGAATAATTTGTGCCAATCATTCCATCTTTTCTTCTGTAAAAAGTGCTTAAGTTTTAGGTTTTGCCTTCTTGTCCTGTAGGTATGAGCTAAGGATCCGCTACCTCCCTAAAGGCTTCGTCCAGCAGTTTACAGAAGACAAACCTACACTCAACTACTTCTACCATCAGGTAACCAACAACAACATCAAGATAGATATTGTGCATTGAACTTTTTCACATTTTGTCACATAACAGCCACAAACCTCAGGATTTTATGAAATCAATGCAAAGTAATGCATAATTATGAACCTATGGGCAGATAATGCAGAATTTCCACATGTTTTTAGAAATAAAAATCTGCTGTTTTCTGTCCAGAGGACAGATAGTGACAGCATTAATCAGAGATGCAACCAAAAGAAAGTTTGTAACTCTGGAGGAACTGCAGAAATCCACACCTCAGGTGGGAGATTGTTGACAAGACAGCTATTAGTTTGGATACAAAAATGGCTTTTATGGGAAAAGAAATGTGTAAGAAGACCTGTTTGCATTTTGCCACTTGGACTCAGCAAACATGAGGAGCTTATCAGCACGCAAAACGCTTAGTGCAGCAAAATAAACTAACACTTCAGATAACCAGAAACGCACAGTCCTCATTTGAAAACTTTTCAATGGGACCATCATGCCATTCTTCAACAGGGACAGGGAAGGTGGGTGGAGTTTAATGCAGAGCAAGCTGGAAGAAAGTCTGTTGAAAGCTGCAAAAGTGTTCATTTTCCATCAGGACAACCACCCTAAATATTCAGCCAGATATATAATGATATGAAATCAAAGTAGATTCTTTAGTTAGAATGATCTATTTTCATAAAATCCAAATCCATTTCACTCAGCTTTACATTTGCAATGTGACAAAATGTGAAAAAAGTTCAAGGTTTGTAAAAAATTTTTGCAAGGCGATGTAGGTTTTGGTTGTTGGCCACCAGCACTGCGGCATATGGCGATGCTGGAAGAATGTCTGTTTGGTTTCAGATAATTTGGGTCAGTAAAACTTGTGGGAGAAACTCGATTCCAAGATAAAAAGCGCTGGATATTTATGTTTCTTTCAGGTGAAAAATGACTACATGACACAGTTTGGAGATCAGGTGGAACAAGATGTAGCGCTCAAGCTGGGCTGTCTGGAAATCAGGTAAAAAAAAAAAAAAAGCCCTAATAATTATAAAGCGATTCCTGATGACAAAAAGCAGCAGTATTCTTCACTAAGTTTCAATTTGGTTTGCTGGAATCGTTTCCATGTCAGTCGGTCTGCCTCTGAGCTGCACTAATAACTCATGCCAGCATTAGTCAGTGTGTGTAATTCATTATTCAGAGCAGCAGACGTTTCTTTTTCAAATAGGACATCAGTGAAGTTTTGTGTTTGTCTTCTCTTCAGACTGAATATAGTTTAAGATGTTCATTTAAAGTAAAATAGTTTTTTTTTATTGCCAACTAATGCTGTCAATTATCTGACTGTTCTTATTCTGGTGTCCCACTTGTTTCGCTTCCAGGAGGTTCTTCAAAGAGATGAGAGGAAATGCTCTGGACAAGAAGTCCAACTATGAACTACTAGAGTAAGTGTTTCTCCTTTGTCTCTGTGCCAAAATAACAGAAGTAGAACCCAGAAATGTGTTTCTTTGCTTCCCCCAGCACCTTCAAGTATGTCCAAATAAGCATGTTTCTGCATAGAAAACATATTTGGGAATTAAGTAGCAACAGTTGTTTGAACTGAAGGTCATTATTAGTTTAAAAAAATGGCACATAAATGTGGAAGTGTTAAATCTTTAAATCAGCTGCAGTCAGACGGTGAAGAGAAAACTTCCTGAACGCTGTCAGAAAATGTTTGCCTTCATGTTTGGTTCTCCTGTTGTCCCACTTTGGGCTCTTTGGTCGGTGACTGTGAATGAAGAATTAACAAAGTGAGGTCTAAATTAGGCCCGGCTCTGACGGGTTTTGATTCTAATGAGCTCCTCACTTGCATTGAAAAGTTTCCCTTTGAACCTCTGCCTAACGAGCTTTCCAATTAACAGAGAAGAATGTCCGCTGTTTCTTCACCAGCTCACGTTGTCACTTTGTGTTCTCGCCGTCCTTCTGCCTGTTTTTTTCTCCCAAGCTGCTCCTCTTTTGTTTCGTCTCTGTGTCCCTTGCTGTCTGTCTCTCTGTTGATTTGAAAAATATGTAGTGTCATACATATTTTAAACAAGCAAGACAGAAGAGAGGAAGGGCTGACAGTTGGCCAATAGGGACTGTTAGGTCCTTGTTTAATAGTTGAAGACAGAAATCTTCCTTTTCTATTTGGTTTTTTGTGATGCTGCTTGCTTCAGTCGGTCTTTATCCACACATTTAAATTAATTTGAAAAAAGGTTTTCTATGTTGATTACATAAAATGGTATCCTCCTTAATTGTCTCATTAGACATATAGTGATTTTAAACCATACCTAACACTTTCTAAAGCCAGACTTCCTTCTAATATTTAAAGTGGAGTCCTTGGATTTGGGTCCTTGGATCTGACTACAGCAGCATAAATAGTCTGTGGTTAAAAAAATGATAGTTGTTCATAGAAATACTTTCTCCCAGCAAATAAATAGTTTCTGAAAGCCATCACTTTTAAGTAACAAGAGAAGACCTGAGCTATATTGTCCTACATTTGATAATGAACTGTACATACCAAGTTTTCAGATCATAGCTTGTTGTCAATCACCATGTCGATACTGAAGTACAAATTTCCATCTGTCAGACTTTACAGACATCAATTCTGTTATTAATATAAATAACTAATCAACACTCAGCTTTCTAGATTTTCTTGTCCTGAAACAAGTATTTTTACGCTTGTTTGTGAAGAAACAGAAATTGGCTATGAATGTCTGATCAGTGCAGCTGTTTATATCTGAATGATTCATTAGTTTAAAAATATCCAGTGAAAATGGTCCAAACCAACTACAAATAATTGATCTATCTTTATTTTCAAAGTCCTCACTAATACTGAACTAGCTCAGGTGGCTAATAAGCAGAAACTCCATTAAACCTGCTTTGCTTGTCTTCTGTGACACTGAGACAAGAACAGGTTTAACCCAGTAATGGGATATTTGCTCATACTTTTTATGATGCTAGAAACCTTAAGATGGAGTTTAAAGTTTGATAGAAACAATCCGCTAATGCGCCCAGCTCTACGGTGAAAAACAGGTCTTTCACGTTTGTCTCTGGTTTTTTGGCCGTATATTTTCCACACATTTTTAGCACAGTACTGTAATGATGCTGTTGTGTAATATTGATTGCGGAAGTGACCTTTGTCAGAGAAAAGATGATGTAACCTCCCTTGGCTTTTCCTTGCTCCCTCTTTGCTCCTTTCTTTCCTCCTTCTGGAGTACTCACATTTTCCTCTGAGGAATATGAGTCATTAGTTAGCTTCCTGCTATAACACTGCACATCTTTCTTGGTCACTAAGATTCCCCTTTCTCCATTCTGGCCTGCATCACTCACTTTCCCTGCAAATTTCAGGACTTTATATCCATTTTCAGGCTAGGATGAATGAACCCTTCCTGTCTTACCGTATCTCTCTCTCTAAAAGTGTCACAGCAGAGGAAATTTAGTCAGCTGAGATCAGATAAAGAGAGAAATGTGAGCCATTTAACATTCCTCGTGTGATTACAGCGCTCTGATCTCTGCTTCTCTCTTCAGGAAAGATGTCGGTCTGCGGCGATTTTTTCCTAAAGATCTGCTAGACTCTGTCAAGGTGAGATGGTTTGTCCATATAAGAAGAGGTGGGGCTCATATGCTTACACCTGCTTAAGCAGATGGGGGTTCTTGTATTGCTTCACAATGTTTGTGAAAGAAACAGACCAAATCTTTAAGCTTGATCTCTTGCATTGCATCTCAGCTGTTTTTTGTGTGTATTTCCACCACTTGAGCCACTAAAATAGTTTGTCTTTTTAATCTGTTATTTTTTTAGTCATAAACAAGAATATGTGCAAACACAAACACAATATCCAAACACCTTCTTGCCTGCAGCGAAAGAGGCAGAAAACAGTCAAATCAGAACAATAAAGCATCTATCTTGGCATAACAGAATGAAAGAATAGTGAAAACAATAAAACTATCAAAAATATTGTACATTTATCCCAATGTCTGGTTAGCAACAATGTGATGACTCAAGGTTCATTGTGATGCGTGGAGCTTGAACCAGTATTGCAACTTGGTGTTTTAATATTTTTTTCCCAGCGACCTGAAAAAGAATAAAACTCCCCTCAAACCTACAGCAAACAAGCCAGATTAACAGATGTTACCAGCTCCTGATATACACAGATAAAAACATTCTAAAGCCCTAATATATTATTTTAACTCAGGAGCAGGAATGACTAATTTAAAATGTAACAGTGAAGGTTTGAACTTGGATAGCTGAAAGATAATGATGATCAAACTGAAACAATAAAAAGTGTTTTGCATCTCGGCCGGCACAAAGCTTCTCCTTGAAGGTAGCTCCAGCAATGCTCCTTCACTTCCAGGGCTGTTTTCTGGACTAAATGTCTACCTGGATAATCTGCCTTTAGCCCATTATAATCAGTGGAAACAGAGGCGACTTATTAATGACCCCAACAAAACTACTCTGGTAGTTCCTGCAGTTAAAAAGCACCTTAATTATTTCACTCTTGACTCCCAGCATCTGGTGTTACAATTCTCCATCTGTTCAATTAGAGTAGGTCAGTTTCTACCTCATGACGCTGCTTCTAGGATCCCTCTAAAATAAAGAAAGTGTCCAGATCGTAACTTGTGGTATTTGATGTGTTGTCAAATCTTGGCTGCTCCTGTAAGGAAAAAAAAATATTTTTTTTTAAAAATCACAAAAATCACATTTAACACTTCTTCCAAGTGTTAAATGCTTGGAAATTTGGACAGGGGACAAAGGTGTTTTTGTTTCTTCACTTTTGAAGAAAGCAGTGGTCATGTTCACTTAGTAATAAATTTAGTAACCAATTAAAGAGTTTTCATTGAAATATATTTCAAAATGGTATATTACTCAGAAGCGTGAACTGATGTTACCATGGAATAGAAGACTTGCATTTGTGTGTGTGCGTGTGTGTGCGTGCGTGCGTGTGTGTGTGTGTTTGCATGTTGAAAGGTGTCAGTGATAAATTTACGGCACGTGTTTATGGGGAGATCTTTGTGCGTCTGCGTGTCTCTCGGTATTAAAGTCTCAGTGACCCGAAAAGGTCCTGATGTCAGCAGGCGGGCAGACAGATGCTCTGCAGAGGGAGACGGAGTCTGTGATGGTACACGCTCGTGTATGTGCGCACGTTGTGTGTGTGTGACCTTTGGGTCATGGTTAAACCCACTCATTCATTCCAACAATGAGGAGGAAGGGGGAGGTGTTGTGCGCAGCTTCTCCCCTGTTCTCTCCCTCTTCTGCCAGTCCAGCAGGCTGACTCTCCTCTCATCATCTGCCTTCATTCTTTACCTTCTTTGTCTTCTTGTTCACTAAAATTTAAGCCTGTTTCTTTCAATCATAAAGTTGTGTCAATTTAGCAAATTGTAAATTGATAAACATGGCATTTATTCAGCATGTATGAATAAATCTTGTGTGCATCCATTATAATCAACTAAACCGAATGACATGTGAATCGTTGCTTCTAATACTTTTGATCATATTATCAGTGTAAGGCAGATGAACTGATTCTGGTAGACTTAGACTAAAGTGACATTTGTGCTGCTTTTTAAAATTCACACATGTTCACATGTGTGAATATGTGTGGGGGTCAGAACAGGGAGGGAGCGCAGCTGTCTTTTACGTTTCTGTCGTTCACTCTGCCGAAAGGGAACCGTGGTCATTTAATGAGATTATTCTCCCTCAATAGACTCTGCTCCCACACGCACAAACACACACATTCAGCCCGGAGCAGATGGCTGCGGTAGTAAACAGTAACTTATGTTAGCTGTTATAAAGAGCAGAGTCTGTTCATTGGTATTGACAGCAGGTTTAGTGAAAATGGCCTCTCGAGATCAAAGTTTGAAGCAGCCGCGGCTTGATTTGACAAGCTTGTCGCTTTCGTCGGATGAATAGCATATTGAAATATCGTCTCATGGTGTTAAAGTGGCTTCATTAGATTGTTCATTTATTGTCATAGAGCCTTAGTAATAAAACACCGGCCTTATTGTGTTACGCTTTTAAGTAAACTCAGAGATGGGCAGTTTGATAAAGTCAGGTGGTGAGGGTTTAGAATATGCTGACAACCCACTGCAACTTTCTGAATCAGTTTTTTACAAGGAAAGAGAGACTATGTTCCCTTTTTCAAAAGGGAACATTTCTGTAGCTTCACATCTTAACAGCAGCTGTTTGTTTTTGCTGAAAATATTTATAAATAAATGACAGATGTTTCTAGAATATTTTGAAAACTATTGAATTACCTAATTGATCACAGTAAATCTGGAGAATATGCACAAATATGTACGTTTGTGCATATTTTCTGTATGATTGAATATTTGTATTTAAAAGCCTGTTTCCTTATAAAAACATAAAAATGTGAAAATGTAAAAAAAAAGTTTTAGCACACCCTTTATTACTGCAGCTATAATATTATATAAAAGTTTCTATGAAACCTTAAAGTTCAGGATCACCGACAAGTTCAATTCTGGAATTTGACTTCTTCATTTTCCGTATGTGGATCATTATATGAGAAAAAGAAATGAAACGTGTAACTCAAAAATATTTGAGTTTTGACTTTATTCCTTTTTCATGATAAAAGATAAAACTCAAAATTTCTGAAAAATAAGGCATTTCATCTGTCTTTGAATGAAGTGGAAAAATAAGTACAGTTTTTATTACAATTAGAAACTAAACCCCAGCTTGCTAAATGTTTTCTTCACATAAATCTTAAAAAAATATTATAAAAACTGAGAACTAGAAAAGTGTGGCATTTGGAAATAGAAAACATTGTAGGAACCGTACTAAATGCACATCAGCCACGATGGATTTTAATGTTGGTAACGCTGAGTGATGGTTGGAGAGCTTGCTGGTTTAGCCACGGTTATCATGGTGATGTGGAGGCTGATAGCCAGCTGCAGTGCTTCCTCTCAGGAAGGGTGGACATTTTTGTGTGTTTGTGGTGGAATTCTAGGGATTAAAACAGAAATCCTTTCTGGAGCATGAACAGCACTTACAATATGCAATCCTGAGTGTAGTTTCACATCTGTCATTGTTGATGTGTGAACGCTGGGATATTATTGAGAAACGTGTGTATATGAGTGTGTATTATGCTGATTTGTTGATTCCCTTGAGCTTAGCAACTGGACAGCTGGCGGCAGCGCCCTGTAATGCTCAAAACTGTACAGTATTTACAATTGAATAATACATTTTCACTGCAGTGCCTTGAAAAGGTTTCGATGGACTTGTCTGCAATTTTGTGATGCTACAACCATAAACCAGCACGTTTTAGTGCATTGGTGAACCCATATTAGCTCGTGATTATGAGGCGAGAATAGTTCACAGTTTTTACCAAAATTTATACAAATAAAAATAAAAAAATTGTTGCACATTTCTGTTCAGTTTTTGTTTTTCAAATGCATAAGTTCAAATTTTACATGCAAGCCACAAACTTATTGAGTTACATTTGGATGCCTGAGAAGTATGACTACATGTAAGTGTTTTGATCATCTTTATTTTTTCTCTCATCAGTAGATAAGGTTTTGTAAATTATGTATTATTGTTCCTAGATAGATTTACCGCCATCTGTCTGCTCTTCAGTGATGTAGAGCACACTTTAAAAAAAAACCTTTTTAGGTCAGCTCTACAATCTACTCTAGAAAGATTAGTTGATTATGTGTGAAGTCATTTAAAGAGTCCCTGAATAGGCCAAGTCATTGATATTTAGTTTTGTAACTAATATTGTCAGAGTGCCTTTGTTTAGCTATTGATCCGGGCTGAGAATGAAGTGCAGAGGTCAGTTTAATTGGAAACAGAGTGGACTATTAGTCAATCAATGTCTGTCGCTGTACATTCATGCAGGGAGATAAAAATACAGCCGCCTCTGCATCATCCTGTCAGGCACTGTTTTTTTTTATTTTTTAATTCATCTATTTTTTGACCCACCAACTAAATAAGAGTTTAAAAAACATAAATAAATCTTTACTCACTGTTCCTGCTTCTCTCCAGGCTAAAACCCTCCGGAAGCTAATCCAGCAAACATTCAAGCAGGTGGCCAATCTCAACGACGAGCAGTGCATCCTCAAGTTCCTGGAGATACTCGCACCGATTGACCGCTACGACAAAGAGTTCTTTAAATGTGCTCTGGGGGTAGGTGTCTCCCACGTCATTCCTCAGAAGCAAGAGGAATAACTTCCTTCTGAGGAAGAAAGTTATTCCTGAGAATAGTAATATTAGTAATAACTCAAGTTACAACTTGAGGAATAACTCAAGTTATTCCTTGAATAGATTGACCCTCTGTGTGTTGCAGAAGCACTAGATTGACCCCTGTTGGTGGCATCCGGTCCTGCATTTAGTCTTTTTTCCCTCTCGTCTCTTACAGTCCAGCTGGGTGATTCAGGTAGAGTTAGCCATCGGGCCAGAAGAAGGCATCAGTTACCTCACTGATAAGGGATCAACGGTAATTATCAGATGCACACTTACTAATAAAGACTCTATTTTATAATTATACACTCTCTTATTTTGTTCTGTCACTTAAGTTTGCGGTTGTAATGTCACGACATATGAAAAAGATACTGTGATGCTTTGGGCATTGTGGATTTCAGCAAAATCGATCAATTGCAGTCTTTGTAACTTATTACTGAACCATTTTATTTTTTCTTGTGCTTCTCTGTCTCCAGCCAACACATTTAGCAAACTTTAACCAAGTCCAGTCCATCCAGTACTCAGCTATGGAGGAGAAAGACAGGAAAGGCATGCTACAGCTGAATGTAGCTGGAGCTGCTGAGGTACTGCTAACTGTCTGTCTGACACATTGTGACCTTCTGGACGTAACTCGGGTCGTCTACTCAGGGTGTAAATATTGCCCTCCACCAATCCTGACAGAGAATTTGTCGTTTGAAATCCACAAAGATTTAATTAACGACTGCTCTTTATGTTTTTACAACAAACTGTTTAAAAAATGAATATTTTAATGTACACTGACTGCGACATTTATTATAAGAATTTTAAGAAGCGTTAAAATAAATGTATTTTTATTGCAGATGCACAATCTCACTCTGAAACGTTTATAGAAATTCATTTTATTTAGTTGGAAACAAATCCTCTGGCACATTTGTTAGTACCTATAATAATCTCTAATTTCTCTAGTTGTAAAGTGAACGAGGGAATCTGTTGAGGGAATCTACATTGCAGTCAGTTGTTTTGGTCTCACAAGAAATTCCATAGAATTTCAGTAGAATGTCTACAGAACTTAAATTCCCAGTTTTAAAATTCCGTCCTATTGACCCAAGGGGGGACTGTGAATTTTCCTCAGTAATTAAAAAAATAAACTTAGCCACAGATTGTTGTCCTTGCTGGATTAAAATATCCAAACTGGAGGTTTTGTTCTACAATAAGAAAAAATATTGTATTACTGAGGATTTTCACACATGTGGCTGGAGTCGTACATCACTTGTCTTTTCCTTCTCGTAGTTGACGCTATAATTCTGATGTCTCAAGGTTTTAAGTTCACTGGAAACAGGAAAAGCATGTCTATCGTCTAAGCAATGCTTTGATCAACTTGAGTCAGTATTGGTTTATTGGTGTTGGAAGCGCTGGATTTACAAACACATCGTTGGTGCTGTTTGTCAGAGAATAGTTTTCTCTGGTGTCAGAGGCAGCTGGAAACCACATGGATTAAACCTTCTGTCTGTTAATTGATCGTGCGCGTGTATGTATCTTTGTGTGAGATCATCTCTCTCTGTGTGTGTGTGTTTACTCGTACAGCCTCTCACAGTTACAACAGCGTCGCTCACCACGGCGGAAAACTTGGCTGATTTGATTGATGGCTACTGTCGGCTTGCCTCCATGGAAACGCACTCGTTCATTGTCAGAGTACAGAAAGGTGGGTGCAAATGATCACCTAGAAATATTAATATACAAGGAGGAAATCAGCACTGGATACACACCTTTCAGACCTGCTGTGGGTAGTTCTTTAAAAAAAAAAATTTAAAGAAGTACTTTTCATGTAGAAATCAAAGGAAATGTATTGATTTTTCTGTATTAAAGTTTTTGGTTACTTTTCAAGCTGCTCTACATTTTTTGTCATTCACAAATATGAATTTAAAACTTATTTTGGAGTTTTTATTGATCAGAATATATACAAAGAAAATCTAATATGAGATTTAAATCTCATCCTATCTATCACCAATCATTAACTTTAAATATTTTAGTAATATAAATGTCCTATTTTTGTTAATATGTATTATAACAGTAAAATTTTTACATAAAATGTAAATAACTCCTTTCCTGATGCTAACGTCAGTTATATTGTGGTGACGATTCATTTAATTTTTTACATTTAAATGCCAAAGCACAAACAAATTGAGTATTTCTTTTATTGTAAAACGTTAAATCACTCAGACATTTTTCACATAATCCAGTTATATATTTTTTGAGTGTTTTGACTTGTACAGCTAAATGTAACAAATTTGAGTTTATTTGACTGCAGTGTCTTCTTTTATCCTCTAGAGGGAGAGAGAGCTCTGCCTTCCATCCCAAAGTAAGTCCCTGAATCCGTCATGTTCACATGTGGCTCCTGTCAAAGCTTTAAGACCTCACTTTGGTAATAAAAGCAACATTCTTGTGGGTTTACAACGCTTTTAATTTTAAATCAGCACAACTGAATATGAAGGGCTTGTTTGTTTTTCACCAGAAACATTGGTGATTAGTCATTTGATAATATAGATTTTCTTGGAAGATGAGTGATTATCAACATAAAAATCTGTTTTATGGTTGTTTTCTTTAAAAACATTGGAACAGAAAATCAATGTACATGTTTGGGAATTTAAAGCTCAATCTATTTGCTAATTTTTCCAGATAATTTGTTTGTCTGAGGGTGTTTCCCCAGAAGGCAGAAGTTCCTAATTTCTAGAAACAAATTTATTATACATTTTTTTCCACCAGTGGCTAAAAGAAGATGATGCAAAGTACAACAAAATATTTTAGTTAAAGCAAAAATTCATGGTAAATACTGATTAGTCTGAATAGAAAAAAACTTACATTACACAACAATTCCCTGCACTAAGTATATTATATATTCCTGTTTTAAACCTGCATGCATCTTTATTTCAGAAACACTCAACCTCTCGCTCTATTTTCAGTGGCGATGTTTGTCGCTTAATAACCCATTCACTCTCACTTACAATAAAAAAAGTCTAACAATTTTCTAGTATTTGAAGTTTGTGTTTATCTAGATTTCAATCAAAGATCCAACTCTCTGGAAATCAGGTTGTGCAGCCTGGCCACACATTTCTCTGTTTCTTGCTGAACTTCAAACATGAGCAGTTTTGCTTACTTTTCAACCTAAATCTCTCCCCCTCACTCTGTTTCCTTGGTCAAATAAGGAGATAAAGAAGGAAGCCAAATATTTTCCACTTTGGGTATTTAAACACTCGTAGTCTCCTCCTTCCTCTCACTTTGCTCACTACTTCTCCTTTCTCATTGCCTCTTCAATTAGTGATGTTAAGTCCTTAGTGGAGCTCAGCTGACATAGGACAGCAGACCACGGAAGAGAATCCGTAAGGATTAGTCTACAGTGAGACACTGTCATGGTTTCCTTTTTCTGCTTTGAGGGAACGTGAACAAGTTGTGGCTGTTTAATCTGTTTACATGAGCTCTCTTTGGGATCACTTGGGATTTTTCACAGTTTTTCCTGGACTAGGAACATTTTTAGTTGTTTACGTGTTGACTGAATAGTTTTTTTTCTTCTGCTTTTTCTGTTTGAATCCAGAGTTTCCAACAATGAGAAAAAGTTAGAGGCAGTCCGGAGCGGAGTAAGAGCAATCTCTGTTTCTGGTAAGATGCAGAGCCATGCACTAGATTTGAGATATCTTCTTTCCATTTCCTCCAACATCTGCTTTTTCCACACTTCCTCTCTCTCTCTGTTTTCATGCCCTCTCTTTTCCTGCTGCCTTTTGTTTCTGTCCTTACTTGTTTTTGTCACATCCATTCACTCTTGTTTTTTTCTTCTCACTCCATCGTTCTCTTCCCTCACCTGATTGGCTAAAGATCTAGCGACATCGACGTCCCCCAAGCCAACCAAGGCTCGGCGTTTCCTCCTCCCCTTTGTCTTCTGTTCAGACTCGCCACCCAATGGTATCGCTGGCTCTTATTGGAGCAGAAGAGCATGTGCATAAAATTGTGATGTGGCGGAGTGAAATTTCTGGCTATCATGGTTCTTTCAGGAGAAACAAAATAGGCACTGAGAGCCTATAAAGAAAGAAGCCTTCATTACTTCTGGAAAATACATAAAGTCTAAGATTTCTTTGCCTATTTTATAGTCCCTTACTGCTCCAGAAAGAGACTGCAGTTGAAATGTTTTTTGGCAGGAAAACCTTGAACATTTTGTCTCTTTCTGATGTAAGGTTGAAATGGTTTGCACAGAATACAGTTTGAGCCGCTGCATCTCAATTGGCCAACTTTTACAAGCTCTTCAGTAAAAAGTAGTGTTAGTTTTGCCTGCGTGCTCTGGCATACTCACTGTTGCAGAATTTAATCAATGTAACTCAATGTAACAGTTTACATTATTGCATAAAGCCGTTGCATTACTGACAAGAAAGCTTAACACAACATAAAAAATCACTTAATGACATAATAATTTATGTGGACTGAAGCCTGAACAACCTGAATACATATATGAAAAACTGCAAAAAATTGTTTTCCTTTTAAATAACTTTTTACTGGATTCACACAATATCAGCAAAACATGTAGTTCCATGTCGAATGACGAATGTTGCAATGACTTTTTGATCATATTCTGTGAGCTTTAGCATCTCAGCCATTAAAAGATACATCAAATATGAGTGAAGGCAGTGGAAGTTTATCCAATAGATCTAATATGTTACTGGCCTGCAGGATTTACATGCATGGCATCACCATTGATCATCAGAAATGAAATGAGCTATCTTTGAGGTTTGTTTAGTTTGTTTGTGCTCACCGTGACCTGGTTGAAAATTTGGCACTGTCACTAGGAAAAGAACACAGGATTTTTGTGTTTCTGACCCAACTTTTAGTGTCTGTTGAAAAGAATATTATCAGACTTAAGTCTGTGCATCTGATCTGTTTTTTTGCATTGTAGCTCAGTAATTCAGCTTTAATTTTTTATTAATACAATATTTATTTTATTGCATCATGTGTTTAATGTCAAAGCATTGCTAGTAAATACTTGTGTTTGTGAAAATGTTTTGTTTTAAGACGCTGTGGCTAAAGCATGATTGTTCCCATCTGTTGTATTTACGAGTTAGTTGGATGAGACTGTGAATGGGACGGCATGTGACTCAGTATCTGCATCTGTGGCTCCGACAGCTGCCACCAGGACAGCTCAGAGTGAATCTGGCCAGCAGCTGTCAAACCTTTTTCAGAACGGTTTATATACGGAAAGATAACTTATTTTTGGAGTTTACATTGTTTTTACTTTATCTGCAAACGTTTGTGTCCATGCCCATTGAATATTTTCCTTCTTTGCTACTTTACAACTGCAAGCATCAGTGTATTTTATTATGTGATTAGAAACACCTTTCACTGTAATTCCAGATGGATCATTTTTGGTATTTCTTTTCTAGAAACCTATTTCTGGAGACTAATTGTCTTGGAAAAAATAGCTCAAGGTCAGTCAGATTAGGATAGAAGAAGTCATTTTTCAAGTCTTGCCATAGATTCTTAGTTCTATGAAAATCTCCACTTTGACTGGGCCCTTTTAACACAAAAATGCATCTAGACCCAGTTATCTTTCTGTATTTTGCTCAGTTTATCAGTTCTGATCCCTGCTAAGGACAAGCATCCCAACACCATCATGCTGCCAACACCAAATCTCAGTGTGGGCATGGTGTGTTTAGGTTTAGTGTCAGATTTTCGCTCCGTGTACCATTTTGAGTTTAGGCCATAAAGTTAAATGTTGGTCATCTTCTGCCACGTTTGCTGCGTGACCTACATGGATTTTGGAGAAATGACACACATTGCTGATGGAAAACTTCCTATAATGGTTTTTTTTCAGCAATGCCGTTCTTCTTGACACCCTTGTGTAATGACCAGGTTTTTAGAGCGAGCAATAAAACTTTGGCTCCATGGTTTAGCATCTCCCCAGATTTTAATCCCATTAAGAAAGTGTGGCCAGACCTAAAAAAGCAAGTGAACAAAAACAAATTGTGAAAAACTCAAAGCCCTGAGAAAGTAACAGTGGGTCACTGCAGTCAAGACTTGACCTATAAACTGCAGAAGAAGAAGAAATGTGCTCAGCTAAAGCAGAGAGACTACTGAAAACCCATTTTGACTGTATTCTTCTAATGAATGATAATTAGCTAAAACTGAAAGATACACACTGTTCATGTCCACATATTTGTTTTGCACTGAAAAAAATCTGAGTCGTCCTGCTTTCCCCTGACCTTTGCCCTGCTTTGGAGAGTGTTTCTTACTAACAGCAGTGCATTACTGAAAGTCTGCTCTCATTTTCCAGAAAAGAGTTCTAACTAGCTGCTTGTACAGTCTTTGACTTGTCATGCTCTAACCTCTCTGTTTTTTTGTTTTTTTTGTCTTCTTCTCTTCTCTCGGCTTCTCTGTCTTCCGTCCTGCTGCCACCTCTCCTCTGCTGTCCCATTTCCTGCATGCTCTCCTGGACCTCGCAGAAGACCTTAGCGGGGACGGTAAAGTTACACTGTTGTTTATCAATCTCTGTATTGTTCTTTCTTTCTCGTACTGACACTGGCTGCACCCTCCAGGGAAAGGGTAGCATGTGTATTTTGGTGTGTGGCTTGACGTGATGCTTACATTCCTACATCTTTAACAAAAGCTGTGTGCACTTTTATGTAAATTTACTGTGGTTCAAGCAAAGTAGGGACAAAAAAAGACAATAGAATTCAAAGTGAAGATGTCACCTACTGCATAATCAGATTTTCTTGTTGTGTAGAGCAGCACAATCAGTTCTAATATCTGATTTTTTTTTTTTATCTGTTTGAAAATGTAATACTACAGAGTATAAACATGTCTGCTTTAAACCAAAGAAACCCACAAGAAGCAGAATTAGTAAAGCCACAATAGCTCTGTTAAGGTTTCCCTTTCTCTCAAGAAACAGACATTCAGACCGCCACACACAAAGCAAAATTTGCAATCTTGAACCATTTACTCTTGTGCACACATAAGGACCAGAGGAGGGAGAGGTTTGCTGGATTGTTGGTGCATTCCTGGCTATAAGGAGCTGGCTAAATCATACACACTTAGACACAGAAACATGTTAATTTTCTCTCATCCAAGCTGAAACGGACTGAAGAGAAATATTCATCACCGCTTAGAATGCGTCTCCAACTGAGTAAGACTAAACAGCAGTCAGCTCAATGAAAACAAACCCATTTAGCTTAAAAAAACAAGTGCATAGTGCATGTCGGAAGCTATGCAATAGTTTTGAAAAAACTGAGACAAATAAAAAGCATTGCTAAAACATGGTTGAATATTGTTTATATGTCTTTTTACAAACTAGACGCTTTAATTTGACTTTCATCAGTTATCATTTATATTGTGTATAGTTAGCTTAGGTAGATAAGGTCCTCCACTTCACACCTACTCACCAACTCGGCTTTCAGACATCTTAGAAAGACAGCAAGGAAACTAAGGTGGATTTGAATGAGCAGATAGAGGTAATAGACAAATATCAATTTGCTCGCATGTCTATTTGACATAAATAAATTAATCAGGTTGTTCTTTTTTATGCTTTGTTTATACTCATCAATTATGTCCTAACAAATGGTGACAGGAATATAGTGGTTCATGCAGACAATTGGAACATAGATACACAAACTTCTGAGGCTAGGATTTAAATGTTGAATTTTTTTTGTAATTCACTTCTTTCTTTAGATTCTTCTCTTTTCTGTTTTTGTTACTAATTACTGATTAAGGGTCAGTTTTAAACTGCAGCAACATCAGCGGTTTAAAATAGAAACCGTTGTGTCGCTCAGGTGAGTCCATAAGTCTTTGTTGCAGTAGCAAGATAAAGTCCAACCTATTCACCAGATCAAAGGCTTTTTACCCTTTCTGTTTTACCAGAAATTTCCCTGGATATGTCAAAAATAAATGAATCATTTATATAAAATCTTGGTCTAAAGTGCATCAGCTGTATCTTAGAAACATGCCCACAAAGTTTTTGTTGCATCTAAATGAGCCATTCCTCATTGTGTTGCTTGTTCTCCTTGGCCTGCCTCATTTAACAGACCACTACTTGTTATTTCACATGTTGCTCTTTCTGAGTCCTCGAGACAGAAATCAGCCACAGCAAGCTTATTTCGCATAAATTAGTCCGACTCCAACTGAGCCTGATAAATCCCAAGCAGAACTGTGAGAACTTTCAGGACAGCAGATGTTCGACTCCAGTTTCCAACAGCTGAGTCTGCATGCTGATTTTATTTTAAACACCACCATCTGGTTAGACTGACTGGGCCCATCTTTTGCCTCCCTTTTCCCTGCTGGCTCTGCTTTTATCCTCTCCCTCCCTCTTTCTATCTTGTCTTATCTGCCTTACTTGTCACTGATTTCATCCTAATTCATTTTTTCCCCCAACTGTTTTAGCTCTCGCTCCAGTTTCTCCCTCATTTCTTTCTTTTTTTTCCCTCCTCTCTCTCTCTACTCCTCCTCCTGCTCCTGCTCCACCTCAGTAACTCCCTGCTATCCAGCTGCTCTCAAACAGACAGATATTCACAACACATGCTCAGCTGACACAATCTGCCAAGCGTTTGTGTGTGTGAGAGAGAAAGGGAGGGTGTTACTTTAAGCCGGACTTGCTTCACTTTTGCTTTCTTTGGTTTTGTGAGTCGTAACGTATGCCAGTTGTAGTATTCTTATATTCTTCTATTTCTAACCCTGCAGAGACCGACGACTATGCAGAGATAGTTGATGAAGAGGATACGTACACCATGCCCTCAAGTAAGTTTTTTTTTCCTTTTTCCATCTTCTTTACTTGATGTCTATCAACTGAAGAAATGTTTTGTCTTCAAACTAATGCTACGTTTGCGTATCTGTCAAATCCTTCCATTTCGTTTTGCAGCCTCATACTCGGAATGTTGTGTGAGTCGTTTCCATGAAACACGCTCACAACAACATAATAAACCACAATCGGTCAGAGCGCCGCTGTAGAATTTAGGCCGGTTTTTCCGATTTCTATTAACAGCAAAGACATTAGTTGGAGGTTACAAATCATAGACTACAGATGTGGTTTCTGGAGACATGTGACAGATCCATTCAGATGTCCATAAAAACCCTCAATACGTTGGTGTGCTTGGCTGTACTTCTGTTTGTAACCGCTGCTGAAGCTCTAGGTTCAAATATCTTTTAAAGTGGATGTCTTGGCCAGTACAAGTACTTATGTATTTAATTGCAAGGGTATCTTTAAAAGTAGACTGCATTCTTCTGTCTTGCTATATTTATCTTCCTTTGTTTTGTTTTGGGTTTTTTTCTTCTTCTTCTTTAGTTTTTTTTTCTTGGTTACTTCCTCTAATCAGCATTTCTTTAGACATGTAGCATTTTTCCGACTCCGTTCCTGAGCTTGTATACGTTTTCATGTTAAACTGTTGGCTAAAATGGCTAAACTTACATGTGTAAAGCTGTCCAGCTTTTTTAACCAGTCTTCACCTGTATTTTGTATATTTATTAACCAAATGTCAGATATAAGAAGTGTGTGTGTTTTCTGAGCTTTTTTTAAACTTTACGTAGCAGTCTGGCTCTCCCCCCTGTCTCTTCATCTGTCTTTCTTCCTCTTTTTTTTCCCACCGCCAACACAGTGAGCTATGGAGTAGTTGAAGGTAAAACTACCCTCCTCTCTTATAATATCCCAATGAAATGCGTTTGTGGTGCTTTCTTTTTCCAGGCCCTATTAGCTTCATCATAGAGTTAAACCAAATGGGTGTTAAAAGTGTTCTGCTTTTTCAGATTTTTGTATTGCTTACTGAAGCCACTAAAATGTATTGATGCTGAAATAGTGCATTTGTCTGGGAATCACTCTCAATATTTCTTTTTTCCACAGTTGGAGCCTGGAAAATAGCATTTTATATGTTTTATGTGGGTTCTGGTCATTTCGGCCCTTCACCAGTTTGGGTTTTGTATGTTTCCTACCTGAAGTTATCAGGTACAAAGTGTGGGATGTGCACCAGCCATGTGTCAGTTCGGACCCACTTTGGGTGCATTTTGTACCTGCTTTAAAACATTTTTCAATAGTCTGGGATGAGGTCGTCTGATTATAATAACATCCACCAGAAGGAGGCTGCTCAGAACTACCTTGGTTTGGTCAGGGGTCTTAATCTGTCATATTTTATGCTCATCAACAGACTGGTCTCTTCTCTGGTTTTTGTAAAATTTTGATGGGCTAATACCGATCTTTATCTGATACCTTTTCCAAACTATAAATGTCAAGTTGAACTGAACTGTGGTTCTTTAATTGGCTCCAAACTGCCAAAGAAAGCATTACAAATAGTATTTTAAGGGATTTAGTAAAGATGCCAAAATTCATAAAACGCTTTAAGGTCTCGTCTAGGATATCCATTTTCCTTTTTTTTTTGCAAGGCAAAGAGTTGTAGATTTTTAAATGAAGCTGATATAAAAGCGTCAAAAAGTAGTATGTTTAATAATTTGTGAAACCTGACTATGATTCAAGCTGATTCAGAGATATTGCACTTAAAATGTCTAAGTTTTTCTAAAAAAAAAAGAAACAGAAATCAATATGAAGATTTGAGTCTGCAAAAATCTGAATATCTAGCGAAATAATTGCAAAAATCTTGTTTGCTAATTAATTGGCTTTATTATCTTATGTTAATAGTTAGTTTGGTTAGTGTTTGTAAAAAAAAACCTGTCAATATGCATTTACTAGAGAAAATAGATTCTTCCCTTAACTCTGAGATTTTCTGAAACTGCTATGATGCTAAATGCATTGGGATTCTGTTCTTTGGCCAACCTTTCTGTTACTTGCTTGGAGTCTTGTTCTCTCTCTCAGTATGAATTGCAGACATGCCTCGTTGCAAAAAAACAAACAAAAAACATCTGTGTTTTTGGTAATTTCATTTGAAACACTTCACTAATATTTAAAATAGATTTGGTCAGTTATTGCATTGAGTTTGTCTCCTGAACAGTATGGTGTATTCCCGTAATATATCAAAATGTACAGACACTCTAAGTTTCAGTCAGTGGGCATGAACTGGTTGGTAGGTGGGTACAAAGTGGGCTTTTTGGGTAACATGGTGGTATTGATTGGGGAAGGAGCGAACTGACCGGGTGCCGTTTTAAATTGAGTTTGTTTCTTGTGTTTTTGGAGGCGATCTGAATTCAGTCACTAGATTTCTCAATCAGAACCAGTCCATGAAAAACAGCTCAGGTCCTGCTTCAAAAACACAATTTGAGAACATCAAGTCTCTTCAAACTTCAGAAGTGATGTAACTGCTCTGTGTTTGTGTTGTTTGGTGGTTTGGTTCTCATTGCTCCATCGTTTGTCTTTATGTCTTTATTTACGATTGTGGTTGTGTCAGTTCTCTGTGGCTTCTTTCATGTTTGAAGCAATATTCATTTCTTGTAGCACTATGGATTAATTGCTGTAAATCCTTTAAGAAGGAATGTGTTTTGGCACTTTTTAAGCTATGCTGTTTGTCTTTAAAGATACAAAAGCAGCAAGTTTTTGAGCCAGTGCATTGTGAAATATTTGCTTCACAACATCCTGATTAAGTTTTCTGCTATCCCCCAGGCAACTTGACCTTTACAGAAGCAGAACTGAAATGTCAACTTTAGTTTGAATGTCGAGGACTGTGATTTTAGTCTCAAATCTTAGAGTTTTCCTTTGAATTTTAGTGGTATTGTAAAAAGACAGAGACCAGGCTAAATACACCACATCTGTTTATTAGTCAGAGGAAAATTACATTTGAGTTTGTTTTCAAAATGCTTTCACTTCAGAGCACTCCAAGGGTATTATCTTCTCTGCATGAAGAAGTTCTAATGATGATGAAGGTGGTTTGGTTTGCATGTTTTAGAACATTTGTTTGAGATTTTCTCAGTCTGTGATGCGAACAAAGCTTGAATTTCTGTTAAAAGAGTCAGGAGACATTGATTATAACTACTGGGTACGTTTTACCTCACAGGGCAACAGAAAGGTTTCATCATTTTATAGTACTGGGAAAGTTGTTCATTTTAAATGTGAAAGCCTTTTATCGGTCATTCAGGTCTGACCTTTTTCTTAAAAAAAACAACAAAAAAAACTTTCTTTGTTGCTCTTTTCTCATGTTCCCTCTCAGCACGGGATTATGAGATCCAGAGAGACAGGATAGAGTTGGGTCGCTGCATCGGAGAGGGTCAGTTTGGCGACGTTCACCAAGGAGTCTACAACTGCCCGGTATGTTGAAATGTACACACACAAACAGAAATGGGTTGAATAAACACTAATATCTTTAAAAAACACGTCGCTCTTTCTTTCAATGAAATGAACAATAGTTCGAAGAGGGGAAAGCAAATATTAATGTTAGTCTGCTTTAGTCAGGTCAAAACTAGTTTGAGTTTTTTGGGCTATCCAGCTGTGTTCAAGTTGAACCTTTACACAAAACTATTCCCGCTCAGGTGATTTAGTTACAATGATAATCCAGGAACCTCCAAGGAGGAATTTTATCAAATAGAAGATGCCGGAAAGAGTCTGTTTCTGATTCCAAGAGGTGGAATAATAAAGATGAAGGACTACCTCTGAATTCTTCAACATCATTTCAGATCCACAGCCAAATGTTTGAAACTTTGACCCATTTTATTTGTTTTTCCCAATTATGCTGGATTTTCTTTATGGATCCAAAAAGTGTGTCACTTTCTGCAATTTCGCAAGGCATAAAAATGTCCTCACATACCTCATATAGATTTCCTAAAATGGTGCAATTATTAGATACAATACATAAGGAATTCAAACTTTAACACCAGCTGTTTATTGTGTGACCATTCCACCTGAAAAGTGAAAAGTTAAAGTCTTTCACCCATAAACTAATACAATATTCAGGACGTCTGTTTGTCCGTCCTGGTCATAAATACTTAACATCAAAAACCTAAAGCTACAACAATTTCTTCTTCCCCTCAATTTGCATTCACAACTTTAAAGAACAAACGTTAAGTGACGCTCATGTATTTCAATCTGCTATCTGGTGTTCTGTGCGTTCCTCAGGACAAGCCCCCTCTACCTGTTGCCATCAAAACCTGCAAAAACTGCACCACAGACAGCGTCAGAGAGAAGTTCCTTCAAGAAGCCTGTAACACCGCTTTGTGTTTCTTCATTTCCTCAGTGTTTCCTTTCAGAAGTGCTCACTCTCTTTGTTTTCCAGTAACGATGCGTCAGTTCGACCACCCTCACATCGTTAAACTGATCGGTGTGATCACAGAGAACCCGGTGTGGATCATCATGGAGCTCTGCACGCTCGGAGAGGTGTGACGCAGGCTGCGTGTTTAAGAGCGCTTTGTCACATTTTTTCTTCCTCGGTCATCCGTTGGGATGGAGATTTGCATAAACGTGCTTCTATGCTTCTCTCTGCGCTTGTTTGTGTGTAGCTGCGGTCGTTCCTTCAGGTGAAGAAGTACAGCCTGGACTTGGCCACCCTCATTCTGTTTTCCTACCAGCTCAGTACAGCACTGGCCTACCTGGAGAGCAAACGCTTTGTGCACAGGTACAAAGCATTTTTTTCATATATATATAAATATATATATGTAATTTTTTTCCCAAAAAAGTCACTAAATATAATCACTGAAAAAAGTTATTAACTTCTGCTACTTATTGAGTCAGATCTTAAATGATAATCACAATGTCACTTATAATAAATCTTACATTTCGCTTGCAGAAACATCATATTAAAGAGTGTAATGTTTATAATTTGAGGATTCAAAGCTAAACACAGATGTTGTGTGTTATAGAGATATTGCAGCACGTAATGTGTTGGTCTCGTCTGTGGACTGCGTGATGCTGGGAGACTTTGGTCTGTCTCGATACATGGAGGACAGCTCTTACTACAAAGGTAATGGCATGTCCAACCATAACGAAGGGAAAATTCATCAAAGTTTTCATTGTACCATCACATGCAAATGAGATGTTTTCTATATCGGCTTTCTATATCGGCTTTACACAAAAGTTTAGTTGCTCCACTAAGCACAGAGGAGCTGATATCAGTCTGTGCTGCTAGTTAGAGGAACTTTTCTTTTCCCTGTACTTTTCTACCATCTAGTGGTGACATTAGGGAACTGCAGCTTCTCCTTTAATCAATATTATCACTGATTCCTTTCCTTTCTGAAACCTTCCTGCCATACTGAGTATATTAATGATCAAATGTTTGTGTCTCAGCTTCCAAAGGTAAACTTCCTATCAAATGGATGGCACCAGAATCTATCAACTTCAGGAGATTCACTTCTGCTAGTGACGTTTGGATGTTTGGTGGGTTCGTCGGATATTACGCTGATAATTTTGCTCAAAGATTTGCCTTTCTCTTTCCTATTTCTTTCCCATAATACTTCACTTTCTACCTTTCTTTATTCTTTATATTCACTTTTTGTAATTTAAGTAGCAATTTTCCTTTAAATCCACAACAGTGTTCAAACAATGACTGTAGCAGAACATAGGAACAACATTTTGAGTAGTTTTTAAAGAGTTTAGTTGCATTTCTGATGTGTTCCAATTATGATTACGCCTCTGAAAACACATTTTAGATGAGGTTACATACTAAAAACTGCACCCCCTCCTTGTGTTTTTTCCTACAGGAGTGTGTATGTGGGAGATTTTAATGTACGGCATCAAGCCTTTCCAGGGGGTGAAGAACAACGATGTGATTGGCAGGATAGAGAACGGGGAGCGGCTGGCCATGCCTCCCCAGTGTCCACCCACCCTCTACAGCCTGATGACCAAATGTTGGTCGTACGACCCCAGCAAGAGGCCACGCTTCACTGAACTCAAAACACAACTCAGGTGATATGTTTTTAGTGTGTGAAGCTTACTGGGAATAATGCTCGTTTTCCAATATAGCAGGTTTAAATTGGACCAATGAAGTCTAGTTTTATTTAAAGTTGTTACTTTTATACTTTTATAATATGTCGTAACAGATGTTTTACGACAAATTCTGTTGGACTCTCAGTCCAGATGGAAATGGTGCCTCCCTGTAGAGTGGTGGTTGAATTTGTTTTACTTACTTTTCTGCCTTATGTTTGGTTCACAGTGTAGTTACAAGAGGCCTAAATCTGACCTAGAGCTGATTTTTTTTCTTCAATTCTGACCCAGACCACTTTCATTTTTGATCATTATTTTTGATGTATGTCAGATTTATTTAGGGAAGGTTCAGGTTTTGTATCATTACACTTTTCCAAAAAGTACCTGGAATCAAACATCTATCAGTAGATTACCTAGATTGCAAACAACTTTCCCTGTACTATTAAATGTTCGGGTGTAATTAATTAATTGTTCTTTAATTTCAGCCTTTGTCTTGATATTGACTTTTTGCTGCTGTTGCTGGACCTCAGAGCTTTTGCAAGCATGTCTAGATTTAAATGTTAATAAACAACAACTTACATTTTCATCAACTTCAAAAATGCATTGTTGCAAATATGTGAGTCATTCAGAAAATGCAGTCACCGTACTAGATAAATTTTATGTTTTAGCCTTTTGATCGAGTCTTTTAGTGTTTATCTGGAACCACTCTTGAGCCGCATGTTTTGTTTAATTCATTAATAAATAAATGTAAGCAGGCTGAGTTGGTTTGAACTGTAGGAATGAAACAAGTAAATAAATAAATATGTGTGCTGTTATTATTCTTATGATTTTTGCAGTGCTATACTGGAGGAGGAGAAGGGTTTACAAGAGGAGAGACTGAGAGAGGAGATGAGGAGGCAGGTCACTGTTTCCTGGGACTCTGGAGGTTCAGATGAAGCTCCACCTAAAGTAAGACTTCACATTTACCTTTTTTTCTCTTCTCCTCCTGCTTCTTGTATCTCTGAGGCATTTGAACATGATGACAAACTCCAGTCTACTGGTATCTTTCTGTCTTCAGCCCAGTCGACCAGGCTATCCCAGTCCTCGCATCAGTGGAAGCTTCTTTTCCACCTCCCAACACAACCCCTTCCAGGTAAACCAAACCAGGATCACACTCAAAATAACAATTTTAATAAGTAATACAATGCTGCTTGAATTGGACACAAACCTCTTAAATTATTACTGTTTATCTTCTGTTGTGCTTTGCAACTTAAAATGTGTGCAAAGCCAAACGGTTGTTATGGAAATTTGGTGACCCTAAGAAGCTGTTCTTTGTTACACTTAGTAGCATAACATGAATATTTGAATATTTGGTTTTTTTACATTTTGACTTGTTTTAATCGTTTTATCTGTTCTTGACATAAAGATAAACTCACATCAACCTCACTTGAGTGAGGAAAAACGCTATTTGCTTCCCTAAAAGTTCACATCCATGCAGTACAAGAAAGAAATGTCAATGTTGGCAAGATTAAAAGTCATCAAAAAATACTTTAAATATGTTTGGAACTACAAATAAACTTCATGAAATATTTTAATCATATTAATACTTTTTCTGAACCGTCACTACATAAATCACTTATGTATATTATCAAATTTAAGCATAAGACAGTTATCAGAGGCACACAAAAAAATGCAGGAATTTATTTACCTGCAACAGTTTCTGCGAAAAAAAGCACATCACTTCATTTCCATACTGTTGAGGTGTGAAGGTGTCTGGCTGAGGGGCTGTTACCCCTGGATTGACACAGTTCAGTGTGACTCTGTGCTGCTTGGGTCAAAACAAAGAGAGACAGAGGAGAGCAATGAATTCTCTCAATCCTCTCCCCGTGAACGGAGCAGACAGAAGGCATTTCCTGTTGTGCTAAAAGCTGCTCACACATGGCCACGCAGACACAAATCAAAACCACAGCATTGTCTCTATGGCAAAAAAACAACTCTCGATCTTATTTTTGTAAAGAATCTGAGTATATACTTAGTTACATACAACTCCACAGTCTTCAATTATTTTAAAGGGGACCTATTATAATTCCTTAAACAGATTAGGTTAGGTCTTTGGGCTACATAAAACATGTTCATTAAATTTTTTGCCCCAAATAAATCCTTAGACAATAAGATTTTAGTTTGCTGAATTCTGCCTATATTGAGCTTCTTCCAAATTGAGCTGTTTTGGGGTGTCTTGTAACTTTAAATCCAAATAAGCTGTGGCTGGCCACGCCCCCAAACCCAGCATTTACACTCCCATGTGGAAATGGCTGCAAAGATATGCACAATTTCACAACCATATGTCTTTGAAAAGCTTTAATAGAGCCTCCTGCACAACCAAAAAGAATGCAGCAAGTGGCTTCGGAGATGGTATGTCAACAACACTTGTCTTGTCCAGCTGCCATTATACAGCGAATACAGCAGTAAAACCAGCTGAACAAATAGGTGGACAGCTAGGCTTCCTAAGTGACAGGATATTCTTAAAAACTGCTTGTTTTCCAGTCACCAAAAATTATGAATTTATTGCCCCCCCAAATTTTTTTTTCCAGAAATGGAACAACAAAAACATGCAGAAAGCCCAGCCAATTTCATCCAGCCATTAACTTTACAGCGACCACTCCTTCTGAGCCAGCAGTGGGCAGATGACTGCTAATGCTGAGTTTCTTTATGCCTAAAAGAGAGTATAATTCACACAATAAAACAAAACATTTCCTGTCTCTTCCTGCCTCCAGCCATCGCCTGGTGGTGTTGGAGGAGTAGGAGGCAACTATTCCCCTTCTGATTTGTGGAATCAGCTCAGACCTGAACATGCACCACTGTGGAACCCAAATATGGAGGTAAAATTGAGCTACTTATGTCCTCTATTAGTAGTGACAGAAGCCATTGGTGGGTTTTTTTATTTTCCAGTCTTCAGAGTATCCTTAAAAAGTCTTAAATTCATGTATCTAAAAATTAAGGCCTTCAAATGTCTTAAATTAATTTTTAAAAATGTAAAAAGTTGATCCCACATCTTACATTTTGTCTTAAAACTATTTTGTTTTTTATTAAATGCGGGACTTTTCTGTCAGGCAAACGGTGAAGTTGCTCGGACACATCTGCATTAGTTTCTGTGACTTGAAGCAATTAAAGCTACTGCTAACTGGCTGCTAAGATAGCCTTCTCGATTGCTAGCTTGTGGCTGTGGTGGAAAGGTGAAAATTTCTGTTCAGTTGGTTGAATGATATTCATTTTCACCATTGGCTCACTTCTGCCAACCCAAACGAGGCTACGCACATTTTGTACAAAAATTTAAAATAAATAAAAAATAAGGTCAGTACCATGAGAGTTAAGGCTGCAGAGATTGGTATGCAGTGTAAGAAACACAAAGCCGCTGCCAAAACGACCCCAGAAATTTAACATTTTTTGTTATTCTATTTAATTTGAAAATACCTCATTAATCCCAAAGGGAAATTAAATTAAATTATGATGGATTATAGCAGGATTCCCCAGCTGTTCCCTGTACTTAGAGTTTCTTTGGCCTTAAATTTTATTCAAGGTAGCATTAAATTGGCTTTAAATCTGGGCAAAAAGATTTAAATCCATTTTAAAAGTCTTGCTGAAACATGCAGATATCTTGGTCTTACACAGTTCTAAAGTGCTGCATTATAGTATTGCTTTTAGCATGAGCGTTCATTGAACATTTACATATAATTTGATTCTGTAAAAGTTGCTTGAATCTGAAGATAGTTTTACCATGACTTAAATCTCCATTTTATGTCTTATAGTAATCTTGGAATATTAAATGTCATTTTGGAACATCGCAGCACATGCTGCTCTTTGTTCATTTTAGATCTGATTCAGCTTCCTTCTCTTTTCAGTGGCTACCTGTGAAGTAAAAGCTCATCATATCTTTTTTTTCTTCTGGTTTTCTGGTCTTGTTGTCCTCCAGGAGAGACTGGATGTGAACCAGGCTCTGATGGAGGAGACGCTGATAAAGCAGCAGCAGGAGATGGAGGAAGACCAGCGGTGGCTGGAGCAGGAGGAGAGCCACATGGTAATGAAACTCACACAAAAAGCAGAGTTTCTCTCAACCAAAGTGAGAGTATCTGATCATAACCATTTGTTTTCACTGTCAATCTGCAAGAATACAAAATATTACCCAGACAAGGAAAAAAGTTACATGAGCTTTGATTTTCACATTTGTCATTCAGATTAGAAATTGTCCCAGACTTTGTTTGTTCTCTGTGAGAGATAAAACAGAAAACAATGTAAGACACCAGAGAAATGAGTTGGGTTATAAAACAACATCCCAAACTTTGAAAATAACCAAGTTCTGCTGATATAACCTCTCCGAGAATCTGTTCTTTATGAAGTGGCAACGATGTCAGAAGAGAGTCATATCCTATCTATGATGGGATGGCTCATGTCAACGGAAATCAGTGATAGAATGGTCTAGTTAAAGCCCTCAATCTGTGAACATACCCACAGACTCCACCCAGCTTTATGAGATAGTTTGCAAAGCAGAGGAAGGAAAGTTTTGGTCTCTAGATCAGACTCCGGTCCTTGACGGCCGGCGACCTGCAACCTGTGGATGCATCTCTGCTCCGACACACCTGGATCAAATGAAGGGCTGAAAACCAGGCTAACATGCCGAAAAGGAAACTCAGCCTCTGGGTTCGTGTGTGTCGGCGAAGAGATCCATCCAAAAGTTGCAGACACTTGTGTTGGCCTGTTACATACGAAGTAAAAGCTTGTTGTGATCACAAAATGTGATATTCGTGGGCAAAAGAATTGACCGGAAAGATAAGGATCCATTATATCTGCAGAGATTTGTGCCGACTGTTTTTGCCAGTAGAGCTTCAAAATATCTTTTTCAGATTGCTAACCTGGCTTTGCTGTACAGGTTTGATTTATCTCATCAGACAGTAAAACCGTCCGAAAAGCAGCCAAAACGCAATCTTTTAACAGCTCTGTTTTTCTACTCTCCTCATTTCTTTTCTTGATTTGATTGGCTGTTCTTTGGGTTTTCAGCCAGATATGGACCCGAATGACAGAAGGCTTGTGTCCTTTCCCTCCGTCTTTCATTTTTCACCCTAACTTTGCATGTATTTGACCTGCTCTTCATGTCTCAGTTAAAACTATTGTGTCACTCAGAACAGGTCAAAACTTTGGTATTTAATTTAGTTGTGGTTTCCTTATAGACAGTTGGGAAAGCATGTTTTTATACGTCACGTGTTGGAAGGAAGATTCGTCTTCTGTCTGTCTCAAGCTTTAACGCATCCAGAAAACACCGACCGCTAACGTCCTCTTAGCTAAAACAAAACCAACAGCAGAGAGCAGATGATTTATGTTTTATATATATTAACTTTGTATTATTCTCGCTGGGCCTAGCTGAAATTTAATTTGGTCTTTCTTCCATTTGCGTGTTTAATTTCGAAACAAATGGGATTAGCTTTCCGATGCCGTTTAATTAATGCTAAAATAAATAAAAACATTGCATAAAGATCTCAATGTGTTTCTTGCGTCCTTGCTTTCTGTCCTACATCCATTCATTGAGTTTTTCTTTCCTTGATATTTTTTTTGTCCTCTCTATAGATCTGAGCCTGTGGAGGAAGGTGCAGCCTTATTTGAGGGGCATGTTCTCTTGTTTTCCCCATTTTGAACAGAGGCTAAGTGCATTGCATCATATTTCTACGAGTAAATAAATAACGCTTTTCAACTACTTTAAGTTTGTTCAAATACAAACTGTAAGATCCTTTAGTAATATTTATGCTAATGTTGAAAAAAATATCCTTAAAGTAGGTTATTTTTTCCCAAACAGAATAGATTTACTGAAATTCAAGATTGGATCTTTTTTTTCTTAAGCCTGAAAAATGTTTATTTCAAGGCATTTACCTCAATTTACCAAGTGTGTCTATGGAGAGATTGTTTTATAATTGTTCATGTGGATTGGGATGCTGGCTGTGGATTTTTGGTCTTATGGAATAACGAGGTTTGATATAAAAATAAAGAATATTTGTCGAAAGTGACACAACAAAGAACAAAGAGTGAAAGGCAGAAAGGCAAAGAGACACGTAAAATGTGAGAGGAGGACAGAGGGAGGGAGGAAGGAAGTGGGATTGGCAGCAGCAGCGCAGAGGGAGGAATGAGGGAGATTCAGGGGGATGGAAAGAGTGGAAGGGAGGGAGGGAGGAACAGCTGAAGGAGAGAGAAAGAGAGTGATGCAGTTGGATCGTTTCTTTTCCAGGATTTTGTCTCTGCGTTTCAGTGGAACTTTTCGTTCTCTGGAAAAAAAACAAAAAATCCTTTCTCCGTCTCTTCTTTCTCCTCTGACTCAGTTTTTCTTTCTCTCTTCATTTATTTTCTCTGTCTTCCAACCCCTCTTGTGTTTTACTTTTTTTTTTTCTTCATCCTTCTTTCTCTGACACTTTTTGTTCCCATCCCGACTCTTCTTTCGATGGCCTCTTTGTTCGGTCGCCCGTCTTCCTCACGCTGTGTTCTGTCAGGATGCATCTCTTCAAGGCGTGCTTCACCAAAACGGTACTGGCCCAGAGAGAACAGGAGCTTGTCTCTCTGACCACAGATTTTATTTTGGAAATAAGAGATGCGTCGTTACTTGGTCTCATAGCGCTGACATTGCACTCAGTTTGCAGCTACCTGTTGAGATATGCCGCTTTCTGCTGCTTGGTTTGGATTGTCTCTTGTTTCCAGATTGCTGATCAGAATATCTAAATGTGTACACCTTTAACATAAAAGCAGTGTGCTTGCTTTTTTTTTTTATTGTTGAAATTCATAAAGCAATTCATTATTTCTGCTGTTTTAGTAAGTGCACACTCAATTTGAATGTTTCTTTCTGCAGAAACCAGAGTCCAGGAACAGCAGAGGCAGCATTGACAGAGAAGACGGCACTCTGCAGGCACCGGTCAGTCAAAAACATTTTCTGCATGAGAGCTCTGAAAGCCTGCGCTGTTATTAATAGAGCAACAGGTCAGTCGGGTGATGTGGATTTGCAGGAGAAAGAGAGAAGTGAGGAAAACAGAGGGAAATGCTTTCATTCATGGGAAACAGAGAAAACAGACAGAAGGCAAGCAGAGAAAGTATTTCTGTCTGTGTGCTGCGAAGGGCACTGCCTACATACCAGCCGCCTAACCACAGAGCACCAGGGGAACGTTAAATCCAGAAGGACAGCGTGTTTATGATAACTCTGAATCTGCTCTTCCAATGTCTTATTTCACTTGAAAAGTAATAAGCTGCCTAAATTAAAGCATGAAACTGTTTCCTAACACTAAGCTCTGTGTGTGTGTGTGTGTGTGTGTGCGTGTGCGCGCGTGCGTGTGTGTGTTTGTGTGTGTGTGTGTGTGTGTGTGTCTGCACAGGGAGGAAGTCAACATATCTACCAGCCTGTCGGGAAACCAGGTACACAAAGATTCATTCCAGTCTGAAACATTCTGATTCATGAGCATAAAGTCAACTCTGCTCTAAATTTAGTGTGAATTAACTAAATCTGTTGGATATAACACACTTAGTGCTGCTCTGTCATTATTACTTTTTATATGCCCTTTATTATAAAAATTATATTTAAGTCATAATCTTCTTTTTCATCTGAGTACATTATTGTTAATTATTGTTTTCTCAAAATCCTCCATGTTAAATCAAGTCAAGAAATGTGTGGAGGGATTAATCTGGAATGATTTAATGAACGGTGCATGAAGAACAACATGAATGTGTTGTAGAATGAATAAATGAATGAACCAATGAATAAATGCATGGATAAATGAGTCTATACCTGCATGAGTACATTAGTGAATTAACAAACGAATGAATCAATGAATGGGTAAATAAAGGAATGATGGAATTACTCAATAGTTTGAGACTTTAAAGAATGACTGGATGTCACTTGCATGCATGGATGAATTTATCTTTGCAAAACTGAAGGACTGACTGAATGAATGGTGGAATCAAAAATTGGACGAATGTATAAAAAATAAATTCATTCACCCATGGATGAATGCATGAATAAACTGAATCACTTAAGCTAGACTGTAAAGAGAAATTCTATATAAACTCAGATGAAATACAAATATGTGAAAAAGCCAGAGAATCTGTCAAAGTGCTAAATTATTCTGATAATGATGACACTATTAATAGACTTTTAATGGAACTGCGCATTAAAAGTGTCATTATTTACAGAATGATACTTCTTGACATTCATAAAGACGCTTTCATCTTCATGGCAGGTGTGATGTCATGTTTACACGGGGTCATGTCAGTCTTATGCAAACCAAGTGTTCCCACAATTCTTTACAAATAAATACTTGTGTTACACAATGTGCAGCTTTCTTTGCTAAGACGGGCAGTTTAAGGTTTGGGATACTTTGAAATATGTGAATGTGATCAGTAAGACTGAGGCTGTTTCTGCAGAGCATGTAGCCCCTCCCAAGAAGCCGCCCCGTCCTGGAGCTCCTCTCACCAACCTGGCCAATCTGAGCCCAGTGGACAGCTACAACGATGGAGTCAAGGTACGAATGAACGCAAAATAACTGCACATTTGGGGGAAAAATAAGATCCACATCATTTTTTTTCATCAGAATTAATTAAAGCTTTTTGTGTAAATACTTGACATTAGGCCTGTTGCGATAAACAATAAATCAATTAATCGCACGATAAATTAAAACTATCGACCTGTTGATGACACTGAATGAAAAAAGGCTCCACTCCGGTGCTCTCCACTGACCCTCCCTTCCTTATTTCTTAGTGTAATGCCCAGCGCGCTGCACGATTTTATGTCACTGATTGTTGGCCCATTATCAAAACCTGAGAGACACTTTAGCGACAGAAATCCTCGGTATGACTGTCGATCGAACCGTGTTGTGTCTAACAGTGGACACAAAATAACAAGTCCAGTTCACTAATTTTGAAACCAGACATTAATCAATTCCTTACTACAATCTACCTGCAATGCATGTGGCTACTGTCATTCCTGACTGAATGAAAATCATTATAACCTATTCATGTCACGTTAATGAAGAACAGCTGAAAAGTTACCGGGTTTTCTGGTAGAAATTTTGCTCCAACTCCTCCCCTAGTTATTTATATTTTTTTTGCACGAACTGTTGAATAAACATTCATGTTGTTTCCGATGTCCGCTGGACTTCGCGCACCGTGTCAGCTGTTTGGGATTCCCTCCGTTTCCCCTCAGAAAGCGCGAGGAGAATCCGCGCTTTCTGATTGGCTCCCGGTCACATTCAACAGGTTGCGTCACTCTCCCAGTCTGGATAAATCTTTGATTTAGATCGCAGCAGCCAAGACGATCTACCGCAACACAGAAGGGACAATCTTAGAACGAATAACGATCTTAGATTGTCGTTCAGGGTAAAAAAAATCCTGTAGTTTGAACTATTGCATCAGGCAGTCGGATTCTTCTCTATTTAAATCTAATGATTACTGAAGGGCAATAAACTATACAGACTTCATAATCTGCACTCTTTTGGTTGAATGCAGTGTTTATTTCCACTTTGGCTTTATGTTGTTTAGTTTTTATTCAAGTACATTTATTGTTAATGGAGACTGAGAATCTATTTTATTTGGTTTTATTTATTTTGTGTATCAGTCCAAGTGTTAAGTGTTCTTTTGAAAGTAAAGTGTATCTATCTTTGGCTGGAAACCGCATGTATTATTAAGTAATTTTCATTAAATTAATGAATAAAGGTATTATCGTTTATCGCAATAATTTTTGAGACAATTTATCGCCCAGCAAAATTTGTTATCGTGACAGGCCTACTTGACATTGTGCTTTGCCTTGTCATGCTTATCTTTAGTTGGCTTTGGCTCTAATGTTCTTTCCTTTTTCTCTCCTCTCTTAACTCTTTTCCTCCTCTTCAAACCTTTTTCTACTCATTGAATCACATGACTACTTGCTTATTTTGTTTTTCACACCATTCACTACAATCCCTTCCAACTTTTCTGCACTCAAACACACCTTCATAACTGCCTATAGCCGTGGAGGGTAAGCAGATCTGTGTGTGTGTGTGTGTGTGTGTGAGTGTGTGTTACCATTCTAGAGTTAGTTTGCTGATAGTTACCATCACCTCCATTCTTAACATGTGTTACTGATAGTGACTTCTACACCAGAGGGAAATTAAAAGAGCAGGACAGAAAACATTTAATCCGATTTTCATTAAAACTTTTGAAGCAGTATGTTAATCTACGGCTGAGATGCTAATAATCTCAGCTCCATTAGCATCGGATTGCTGCATAGGCATAAATCCTGGGGGCTGTGGGATCCGGGCCTCCCCAATCTTGGAAAAGTCTAGAATTGTCCCCAAGAAAAAATTATTAGAGAGACGTTCGCATTTAAATAATGTCAATATGAAAAAGCAAAAGAAACAAAGAACGAACTAAATGTGTCATTTATCTCAGAAAAAAAAACAGAATTAATATTTAAGTCCCCACCATTGTTAGAACAACGGTTCAGTCCAAAGTGTAGGAGGAGCAACTGCAGCTCTGAAGAGCCACTGAACTGATCAGTTAGCTGTTAGCTGTGGCAATAAGTAAATACTTAAAACGAAAGTCATGTAACACCTTTTATTTACTTTCACTGCTCAATAAGAAGAAACACATTAACAATAAAGATCAGACTGCAGTTTATTTTCTCACTTTGAATCTTGATAAGCTGCTTCATTACCAAAATTGCTACGCTACTTTTATAAACCAAAGCTTTTTTTGTCAAAGGTAGCAAACATCTAATTTATAAACAGATAAAAAAAGTTATGCCTTTATTTCTCACTGTCTTCAATGTTGAGCCTTTGAAACCACAAAATAAAATCTGAATATTTTTTATAAACCCTGGTGCTTTAAATGTTGCATTTAAGTTATTATATTCCCCAGATATTCATTTCTATCTACCTGCTAATTTTGTCACCCAGGACATGGCAAAACTAAAAAAGGCTTAAAAATAAAGCAACTTAACAAGTTATAATTTAAACAGCCATAACTTGTATTGGGAGCCATTTGAATAAATCAATGTTTATGAGGAATTTTATTAGAGCAGTTACTTATTAAAGCTTTTTCATATAGAACCTTAAATTTTTATAAAGGTGTAGACGAGATTAGATCAGTCAGACTGAACAAAACTCGTATCGAAGAAACATTTGAATTTTAATTTTGCTTCTCAACAGGTTGCTTACTTAGAAAAACATGTTTGATATGCATTAAGTCATTTAAGTTTTAAGTTTTTAAGTCATTTTTCGTCCCTAAAAACTGTTTAAACCACATTTAATGTTACATTTCACTGTAACTTTGCCGCCCTCTCCCCAAAACATGCTCTTTTTGATCCATCCCAATAATGAGATGGGATTTACACTCTTGGATTGATGGTTTCCGTGAAGCCAAGATTCAAATTGTTTCCCATTTCTGAGGTGTAAGTGATTCCAAAGAAGAGACCTTTTTTGTGGCAGGTGGAGGAAATCCTTATTTTTCTCCTTCTCACTTTCACAAATTTCACTCTTTTTGTCTAAAAGGGTTTTGTGGGGAAAGGAAAATATGTTAAATCTGTCATCTTTAGTCCTAAGTGGCCACTTATCGAATCAATGTAAAAAAAAAAAATTCTATTGATAATACTTAGCTATTTTAGAGAAGCGTACCACCTTGGTATTTTTTATGTAGCCGACAAGTGGCTTTGATATTGACATATCTGGAATATCAAAGCATTGGTTGATTATTGGTGCTTTATACTTTTAAGATTTGCAGATTTTCTGTCCTTTTAATATAATATTTAGAATGTAAGTGTAAAAATCACTTAATTGCAGGTTGTGTCATCTGAACTGGTCTGAATTAACACCTCATGTACTTTTCACTCTTTAGAAACTCCATCTAATGATCACATTTAGAGCATGTTAAATTATATATTTATGTATAAATATATTTTCTTTACGCATTTGCACACACTGCCACCCAGTGTTGAGTCTCCTGTACTGCAGCCATGTTCTCTGACCGTAGCAGTCGAAAGCTGTGGGTGTTTTAAACATTTAGCTCTTTCTCCTTAGAGGATTTCAGAAAAGTATTTTCAAGAAAAACTAACTTAATCTGTTTGCTAACATGTTGATGAATCCACGCTCCCTGTGTGACCAACTGTTCCAGCTCCAGCCCCAGGAGATCAGCCCACCCCCCACTGCCAACTTGGACCGCTCTAATGACAAAGTGTATGAGAATGTGACGGGGCTGGTTAAAGCCGTGATCGAAATGTCCAACAGGATCCAGCCTGCTGCGCCAGAGGAGTACGTCCCCATGGTCAAGGTAATGGCCGCCTATCGACACGGTCCGTTTAGCTTGAGGAAAACATTCGAAAGTGAAATCCATCGAATGCGGATGTTTGCTTTGGCAGGATGTGGGTCTGGCTCTGAGAACTCTCCTGGCAACAGTGGATGAAACGATTCCTGTGCTGCCAGCCAGCACACACAGAGAGGTATCCGCCCAGAGACGTAGCACGAGTTACAGTTAGAACCTGTGACCATATGTTGAGTGCATGTGAATTCAACCCCATTTACATTGTGTCATCCTGCAAATTGTTTCATGCGTCAGAAGATTAACCTTCCACATTTCCATACACATAGATAATTGAAATATACAACCGATTGCAATAAAACTGCGTCGCTATTCAGAATATTCTGATAGGATTTAGCTCAATTGGAATTAAATTGTTACCCATTGATAATCTGAATACATTTCAATCAGATCAAGGAATTAAGTAAATGTTTGAGAGCTAAAATACAGGCAGTTCGTAAAGAAAACCCAAGTGAGGTTGCTAAAGAGTTGAGCAGACGTTCCCCTTTCAGTGGGACTTTCACTGAAAATCCCAATGAAATGTATCAAAGCTTCTGGTTTTTATGTCACCAAATGTTTACAAGATTCATATTTTAAGGCTGTTTGAGCAGGCAGGCCATTCCTGCTACTTACATTTGTGCACTTTGCGCTCCAACAGATTGAAATGGCCCAAAAGCTGCTGAATTCTGACTTGGCCGAGTTAATATCAAAGATGAAACTGGCACAACAATACGTCATGACGAGGTGAGAACCAGCGGGATGCAAGTGTTTTCACTCATTCAAGATGTTTTTTATTGTCATTTTATGTGGAGTCAGATTGTATAAGTTGTGTTTGTTCTGCACAGTTTACAAAAGGACTACAAGAAACAGATGCTAATGGCAGCTCATGCTCTGGCGGTTGATGCCAAGAACCTGCTGGACGTCATCGACCAATCACGACTCAAGATGATCAGCCAGATCCGCCCACAGTAGTTCTGGACCCAGGCACTCCAAAGAGCACCGTGGAGGCCAGCGGACCCGTACACGGACTGTTCGTTGGATATCTGCGACGGATAGATGAAAACAAGGGACTAATGTGTGGACAGCAGACATGACTGAAACAATCAGCCCTCATTTTCTCCTCTGAAAAACCTCCACAGCTTCCCTTCTTCCTGGAAACGCTTGCGTTTTGGTCCATTTTTGTATTTTCTACGTTGTTTGCTCGTGTATCCAGAGAAACACTTTCAGCGATCAGAAAAGCAAAGGAAAACAAAGGATTTGAAGGAAAAAAAGTGGAACTGAAGCCATGTTGAAAAGGACAATGAAGATGTTTTGTAATATTTTAAATGTGCTTTTGTAACTATGTTGATGTTGTCATCTGCCTTGATCATTGCAGTATGTCCGTTAGATCTCCAGTCTTCCTTATGAACGATATATGAGTAATAATTTACAGTCCACTAAAGTCATAACATCTCATTTCCTCTGCCTCTTAAGATTGCTTTGTCTCAGGTGGCATGACAGATGGTTTGTTTTTATTTTTTATAGCAACAGTTTTTGGGGGGGTTTTTCTTAGCGAAAAATTTTTTAAAAACTGCTACCTTACACTGTTTAACTTAACATAAATTCTAATATACGAAGAAGGTTTATATTTAACAATAAATCTGAGTTATGAACTGCAAGGAAACTTGGAGAGAGGAGACTGAGGGCGGAGCGGAGGGACAGGCAGAGAAGAGACTGTAGGACTTCCTGAGCCACATGTTTGTGATTTGACTGACGAGGGCCGCGTCATTTTCAAGCCTTGATGATGTTAAGAATTTCAAACAAACTAAAATGATCTACAGTCCTCTTGCTAACATGAAGTATGCATCGCTAAATCAATGAATTACTGTTTTGAGTTGTTTTATGTAGCAGAAATGTTTCCAGTTTTGGAAAAACTGTTTTTCTCAACATGAATCATTATTATCATTATAACTGGCCAGAGAGCTTAACTAAAAATACAATGTTGTGAAAATAAAATCCCCTCATGGTTGCCCTGTTTCTCTCCCTCTCCACACTGGAGTTGTTTTTGTCTCTTTCTCTTGTTTTGCATCTTTATTTCTTTGTTACCAATCCAGTTCTTTAGTTCCTCATTTCTTCCCTCTCCCCTGTGCTGAGCAGTTTTCTCAGGAAGGAGACACTTGTATAGTTGCTAAACTAAGCAAATAAAACACTACTATTATTATTATCAAGAAGCATTGCCAGTTGTCTTCATTTTGCAGCTCAACCATCAAAACACCATTTGTTTGATTTATTGAAACCACATTTAGCGCTTGTCAAAGCATTTCAGTTGAGGTTAGGTCTGAGCTTTGACTGGGCCGTTACACCAATTTGTTGCAAATTTGCCGCTGCGTTTTGGATCGTTGGAGTCGGTCGTAACCCAGTTTGAGTTGGACTCAGCAACTACAAAATATCCCAAGTCAGCTTTAGTTGAAGGCAACCCTTTGCCAATTCACACCTGTTTTTCGAGCTAACAACAAAACTGTTGTTGCAAGATGTACCTTGGCGGATGGCAATATTTTATTCTTGGAAAAGAAAAGCCTTACCTTTTCCCATGGCAGCAAAACAAACCCAGATGATCATTCCTTCTTCTGCTGTGAAGGTTCTTGTGGGGTATGTAAGATTACTCCCATTGCAATTGTTTAAATTAAATAACAGTTCAAAGTATTGAATTATTTTTTGATCAAACAACTCTTAAATGTCTTCATCTACAATCCACCCAAAGATGAGCGATTCTAAGATTTTTGGCAATCAAACACACTATCTGCACAGAGAAGCCTGATGCTGGCGGCTTCATAGTCCAGAACTGATTCTATTCTATCAGTTTTTGAAGACTTGTGGAAGAAGAGAGGAGCACAAGTCATTCAAATAACTATGACTGACTCAGCTTGAGCTGTTTTGTAGGGAAGAATGGAGGAAAACTGTAACTCCGGCCACATTGAGACATTGCCAAGCAGGTGCGTTCCCCATTTAATATCTGCATGATCTTATGCAATACTTTAAATTGACTTGAAATTATTTTGTAAAACCCCATTATCGTTTTGATACTGAACGTGCCATTGTTTTTTGCACGTTCATGCAACATCAATTAGCAAAGCACCTCCGAGGGTCAAGGTCAGTTCTGGATGGTGTTTCAAAAAGCTAACCCAAATGAGTTGCTAATTATGGCTACTAAGTACAACGAAAATAAGAGATTCTGCTTACCAACCAACAATTAAACTAAATAAAATTGTTGGTTCATAGCGGGCCTATTTATCCCTGAAAGAAATGCAATTCCAGAAATTAGAATTTTCTTCATAATACTTTAATTTTCCAACATTTCAGATGGTTTATGACAGCTTTAGCTTACTTTAGCTAAAGGGCTGGGGAGAAGGGTTGCTTTTCAACGTGGTAGGAATTTCTTGATTGACGATAAAATATAAACGGTGGTTAAAATGTGCATTATATCGTCATTACGTAGATCTTAAAGCGGAAGAGTAAAATATGTACATGATGTTTTCTGAGATGTGAAAAACAAAAACATGTTTCCGCCCGGTTTCGAACCGGGGACCTTTCGCGTGTGAGGCGAACGTGATAACCACTACACTACGGAAACCCGGATGGTAAAAAATGTCACGCTTACCTCTCTGAAAGTTTCCTATGCATTCTCTATGGGGGCCGTAACGCTATGACGGTAATGCACTGTTTGACCACCAGCGGAATTTTGGGGGCGCTGTTTCTACGTCTTCGTTGTGATTTCAATGACCGCCTATAGCTGCAGGTTAGGCATGTTGATAGCACATGACGTCACTTCTCTTAGTTTATTGATGATAATATTTATTTTATATATAAATTTAATTTCTTAACTTTCTGAATTCATTCTCTGTGGTAGTTCTTATTGCTATGGATGTAACACACATTTTTGGCCACTAGGGAGAGATGTGGGCGCTGTCTCTTGTAATCATCGCGGTGTCTTCATTGGACTTCAGCAGTTTTTATAAACTTCGCTTTACATTAACATTACAACTTGTTGACCACCAGTCTGTACAGTTAATTATTCACTCAAGTCGAGTCAAGTAAAACTAAATGCTTGACTCGAATTGGTTTTCCCCGTTTGGAAAGGAAACCGAGGTTTAAAGTCTTCGGTGTGGGCAACAGTGACATCTGGTGGCAGACTGGAATCACAACAATTTCTTTTTACATCATTTCAGTTCGAATTGTGTAGCTGAACTCTACATTTTCTGAATTTACACAATTTATGAGGTTGTGGCCGTGAACATAGTGTTTACGGCCGGGTTACATCCTTTACTTGTCAGGAATGAACTATGATACTCATGCGGTCTATAGAGATGCATTTGTTCATTTGTGATGAAAAATTTAGACTGGAAGTTCATAACTCACCGAAAAACAGAAAAATATTAAAGCTCACAGCCTTGCACCAATTTAATGCAAGGCATTTTTTTCCAATCAGTGTCAGGTTTTGTCACTATCCACACCTTTTTTTACTATCTCACTAAAGATCCATTTACCGTTTCAATTATTTCCACGGCACATACAGAATCTTCATGCATCACCTCTTAAATGTGAAAAAGAATGAACCAAATAAATAACAGGCACCAACACAGCAAGCAAGCAGACAATCTACTGATTTTTTATACTTTTATTGTGTTTTCTTAAAAAAAAACAGCCATTTTAATCAAAGAGACCAAAGCCCATGTCGTCGTCTGACTCCTCGGACTCTTCCTTCTTCTCCTCTTTCTTCTCCTCTTCTTTAGCTGCAGAGATGAACATTTAAAGTTTAGACACAAATATGACATTCCACACTGAAAACATTTTGTCAGTCATATGCAAAAGCATGGCTTATAACACTTGGAGAGACACCATTTTGGAATTAAATCACATTCAAATTGTGGCAAAGTACAGGAATGTGACCACAGCCGTAACATAGAAGTAAATGTTAAGGTCATTTACCTGGGGCGTCACCACCAGCCGGAGCAGCTCCAGCAGCAGGCGCGCCAGCCGGGGCGCCTCCTCCGGCTCCGACGTTGCAGATCAGACTGCCGATGTCGATGCTGGACAAAGCCTACGATGGCAAAATTCAAAGTTACTTCATTTATCCCGGCTCTTCGTCAATCAAGTCTCAGCAGTTTATCTTAAAATAAATGTCACCACTATCTGCTTTTTGGCAGGCAGTTGATTCTAACTTTTTCAGATTTAATTAATTCATCAATGATCAATGGAGATGTTTTCATTCGGCCAAGTTTAAGAGATGATAAAAATATTTCGCTGAATTAATAACTGATACAAGTCAATAACAGGATGAAAAGCTAAACTATCCAATCCCGATTGCTGAAAGTTATGACCTTACATGAATGGTATTTCATCATTTACCAAAAGAGTTGATCATGTTTTTTTAAAGTGCTGCGTTCTTACCTTGGCGAACAGACTTGGCCAGAATGGCTCCACAGTGACTCCAGCGGCCTTGATCAGAGCATTCAGCTTGTCCTCCTGAACACAGAAAACAGAAACATTTTCCATTTTTGTTATTGAGCAACCCAAAGAAGCTTTATATGGGATTGTAAAAATCAACAACATAAAACTACTTTATGACCTACGACCTGATTTAGCCCTAAATTCGTAAACAGAAGGTAACTAGAAAGCCGTTCTTGCTTCATCCCTGCAAATCGACAACCAGTTAAACAAAATTATGTTCAATTTACCTTAAGAGGAGTCAATCTGAGCTGTCTTTATCTATCCCAATAAAATGTTCACAATTTAAAGTTTAATTTTAGCACAGAGTACAACTAGAATGACTATTTCAAGATAGTGTTCTCAGTTGCTGTTTTTAGTAGCAGAAACAAACCAAGGCTAATACTATTTTACTCATTAAGACAGTCATAAAAGAAAATATGATGAAAATTTAAGGGTAACATGTGAGTGGAATAAAAGAAAATTATGCCAAGTACCACCATTGATATTTGCTTTGGGTCGCTACTATTCAAACTTTTCATTATATACCAAAAATCTAATGTCTTTGCATTGATACAATGTAAATCACCAGCATCCACGTGCAGTTTCACACACCATCCTATCCCACAGCCATAATGTTATGACAGCAGTTCAGCAGGTCTTTTTAGCTGAGGTATTAGCTTCATTTATTGACACCATGAAAGCAAATTCACCATATTTTCTGATTTCACCAGTACTTACTACTGTCTTAAAATACCCATTTGGAGACTTTCAACTCTGTCAGCTTCGTAAAATACACAAAACTGGCTGCAGTAGCTGTCAAAACAAACTTTTTATGCGAAAAAGACCTCCTGTATATTTTCTGAATAAAGGCTATTTCTATTTCAGCGACAAGCACGCCGCCATATTGGCCGGGCACAAGCGTGTTTACACGCCTCTATGTTCATCTTGTAGTTATCGGCTTCTTGTATTTAAGAACCGCTATGTCAACACCAACTTAAATTGCATGATATTAATTTACGTAACCCAACAACCGTCCCACCGTTACTACTGGGCCACTAGCAGATAGCGCCCCGGCTTTCAGGAGTACTCTGACCGGGAGACTTACGGTGACGGTGACTTCATCGTCGTGGAGGATCAGAGCGGAGTAAATGCAGGCGAGCTCGGATACAGAGGCCATTGTAGATGTTGGATTTCAAAGTAGTGAGTTTGGATGCCTAAGTTTGACGGTGCTAGTCGCCGGATTGGGGGCCTTAGCTTCTGATGAAGAACCGAGCACCTTAGGCACGTTCACGTTCCGACAGCGGAAAAGGAAAGGCAGAAGGCGGGATTTCAATATATGTACCCAACGTCTGATTTGCGTGGCGGTGACGCAATCACGCACATAACGTAAATCCCCTTTCCTGTTGTACTCAAAATGATTTTCTAGTTTTTACATTTTCACTAGTAAATCTATTATTAAAGTTTTAAATTAAATTTATAATTTATTTTACATTTTGTAGCGAAAATCTGAAATATCATTACTAATGATCTATTTGTGGTGGTTTTTGACATTTTAAAATTGCAATATTATGAGAATTTTTGCTTTTATTTATATTTATTTTCTTCCTGAATGGAGTAAAAACATTTTTTTTCTTTTTATATACTTTATGCTTCTATTATTTTCCTGTACAAAATAATGATGTGGACATAGTTTCACACTCATGTGGATTGATCTAAAGTACTACTGATCCATCCACAGCACAAAATCTATTGAAAAGCAAGAAAATAACCAGGAAAGCTTCAAAATGCTATTTAGGTAAACATGTATTAACAAAAGGTAACTGCATAAAAAACTGATATCTCAGTGGTTTGACAGATAGCACTTAGAGTTTGCAACAATAGGATGAATGTAAGAAAAATGCACAGTAAATGATGTCAGCGTTTTATTATATTCCAATGAAAAACACAAACATTACAATGATTTCAAACAAATTCAAGGCAAAATGACTCAAAAGTTGACCTCACTGCATTTTGCTTGGAACGCAGTTCTTTTCACCTTTTTCCTGAACAAATCACATGACATCTGAAAAATTAATAACTTGATTCCTAATAGAGTCTTTATACTTTAAAGGAACATTTACAGTAGGCATAAGTAAAGAAGTAAAATCACGATGGTTTAGGTCCAGATTTTGTAATACTTTCCGTGAGCTTTACCATCAATGTTTTCCCTCCAAAACGTCAGTGTCCATTAAAACATTGCATGGATCACTTATGCTGCACATCCAATGCTAACAAACAGTTCAAGAATCACTCGCACATTTGGCACAAATATTTTCTTGGCCCTGACATGTACAAAAATTAAAGAAAAGAAAGACGGTGAAAGGTGAATGAATGTCAGTGTGCCATCATGTTTTACAGCAAAATTAAACGTACCCATTGGAGAACAAAAAAGAAACTTCACACGTTACTGAACTTATTAACCTTAAAGGGACAGTTCAGTTTTGTTGAAGTGGTCCTGTTGAAAGGTTCCATGCAGTTTTCATACCTGCAGTAAATAACCCCCTTGTTAACTTTATTTAGCGTAAATCCACATTAGTTGGCCTCAAGGACACAAGCACATACACAATCAGAAACGGGCCAATACCAAAGTGGATTTTTACCATCTTAAACCAAAATCAGTTCTAAAATTTACGTCAGTTCATCTGAATGCCATATTACAAAACTGAACTATTGTCATGTTTTCATTACACTAAATAAATAGCAAATGGAGTTAGAAGGTTGTGCCCCTCAAGTTATTTTCCTTGTAAAACACATACTGAGCTTTCCAGTCATAGTAATTAACAGAAAACTGCTTTATTTAAAACTGCAACAATATTTTATTTTTTTAAAAAGTTTTTTTTTGTTAATATTAGACAGCTAATATGAACGTCAAACACATTACATGTTGAGTTCTCAGGACATGTTTCACACAGGAAGATTATTGTTGGCACACTGCCTCCAATCACCATTTTCTTTTTAGACAGAAATTGGTTTCTGTGTAAATAGCCAGTCAATGGAAACCCAATGGGGTTTTTATAAAGGTTAATAAACCACAATAATGCTTTTTAAGACTGTAGCTGTTTAGGATGCTAGAAGTCATATTTGGTCTTGGCCCTTCTTTGACTTCAGGATCAGGAACAGCTAATATGGATTTAGATTAAGTGAAGATGCCAGGAGAGTAATTTTACCAGAACCTCACTTCAAAATAAACAGAATCATCCTTTTAATATTCAGAAACTCTCAAGAAATCCTACATTTATCCGTGGCATTAAACCTTTAACTTCCAATCAACATTTACAGAGGCTTGAGATTATTCCACAATACCCCATCTACCATTGAGGTTTTGAAAATGATGTGAAAGCTTACTTTAAAGATGTTTTTGGTCTTTATTCCAGTTTTTATGTAGATAATTTTACCTTCTTCTTTTTGTATTATTTATTTAATAGGCATACTCCATTTAAAAGTACTGCGAAACAGTACAGATGAATGATGCCTTTTAACTGAGTGGCTCAAAATCTGTTGCGTGTACTTCTAAATACTAAACCTGTGAAAATAATACAAAAAAAGCCAAAACAATTTGTTGCTTTGAATTATACAAGTTTGCGGTGGAGTGAAAGCCAGTATAGTGATATGATAGTGAAGCTCCAGCAGCCATTAGTGTACTGGGTCACACCACAGTGTTTGTTTAGATGCGGGCCATTCTCTAAACACACACAAGGTTTTCACATCTGTTTTGATGTTCGCTCCACAGATTTAGCTAGCTGATTTTCATGTAATGTCACAGTATTAAATTGAAAGAACGATAACAGTTCTGGTCCGTTTATAACAGACTGGCACATTAGACGCAGCTCATTTGACGTTTGTACAAGTTCAAGTGTCTGGAACTCAGGATGTTCGGCTGAAAGACATTCAAATTAATGTTGATCAATGTTTTAATTAGAATAAAACTTTTTTTTTTTATATCTTTAACCTTTCTACTAACTGATGACCTTCCACCAAGTCTGTCAAGATGCCCTGGCATGTTCCTACAATAGCCTAGAATGGACAAACCAAACACTGGCTATATACCGGTCCTCTACCGATGTTCAAGTTTTTAGCAGTTGCTGCTAGTGAGGAATGACGTGCAAGCGATTAAACCTTCAAACTTTGCCAAAGTGTCAGTGAATATGATGGACAAAAAGATGACACCCGGAGGTTCCAGCTCGTAGAAGTCAGTGAAAACGTATATTTTCATTTTAGTCCTTGTGAGCCTTCCCTTTGGGCTTCTCGTCGTATGAAATGCCATATTCATTTACTCTAGTTCTGTCCACTGGGTAGAGCCTGTCGAAATAAACAGTGACATGGAAAATATATTCATGGTTATTATTAATAGCAGATTAGGAATATGAATGGAGTTGGTAATAAAAGGTGTGTTTGTGTGTTTACCATCTCTGGTAAAGGTAAATGAGGAAAACCACGTCGTCCCTGAAACAGGCCAGTCTGTGGGATGTTGGCATGGTGATGATGAAGGCAAACACGTCATCAATGAAGGTGTTGAATGCCTGGGAACAGTCAAAGTCACATATGAGTCTCAAAACTATTAGTAAAGAAACATTTTCTCTTCTAATGAGAGAATTATCCATCATAGAAATGTCACATCCATCCATTCATCTTCAGTTGTCAACTAACTAAGCAAAAGAAACTAGAATACCTCACAAATGTATGTTTTATTAAATATATACATCAGAAAATGACTGTACCTTATACATGAAAGCCTTCCAAGGCAGATGAGCCACAGACTTCAGCTGTTGAGTAAATTAATGAACCAAATAAGAGTTCATTCATCAGTTAAGAGTGGAAAAACAGACACGCAAGAAATGTTTATTGATCTAGATCAAGCAACTCTAATCTAACAAATCTCCTCATCTTTGAAAAGCACAAATGTTACCATGTCTGAGCTTTCTCTGTTCCAACTCTGCTCTAGTCATTTTCTGTGTTCTTTTTTAATATGCAAACATAAAAGAAACTCCAGATTCTTCTTTGTTTAGCTGCATTCCTTCTCTGGACAGAGCTTTTGTTGCCATTAATTTGTATTTGTCTTCTGCTTTCTTTCTATAAGTAACAAGATCTGAATCTTATTGTCTGACTGGACAGTAGTGGAATAAATTTGGTTCATAAGAAGAGAATTAGGACCAAACTGGAGTGGAGAGGATATGAGTTCTGTAAAAAAACAACAACCCTGGACTCATATTTGTTGTGAATTGATGAAATATACAAAACCTCAACCAAGAATACTGACCTTATAGTTGACAAAGAGCTGAGGAAGCATGAAGAGGAAGCCAAAGGCATACACACCTGAAATTACCAGAGGCAAAAGAAAGAAAAGAAAGAAGTATTAAATTAAAACGACTGTTTAATAAGGGTAATTTTTTATATTTTATGGAGAAAGTAGCTTACCATTCACCAAGCTGTTGATTAGCCACGAGTACCAGCTAAAAGATAACAATACACAATCAGCATCACATGACCTCTACAAAGAAATAATGTTTCATTTTTGCGTTTGCACATTGTTACCTCTTGTATCGCAGAAATATTAGTGCGTACACCGCTCCTCCGATGCACAGAGGATAAAGGAGGTATGAGAGATACTTCATGGCCTAAAGAAAAAAAAAAACAAGAAATAAACATGTCCACTAATGAGCTGTATTTTCCCATCCAAATGCAGATCTGCTGCTTCTTACCAGAGTATCATATTCTTCTGTTCTCCGCTCTGATTCGTCTAGTTTCCCAAACTGTTACAAGAAAAGGAAAATGTGTAAGACATAACTGTCAAAATTAACATAGAAACCAAAGCAATGAATCTTCTATTGCATGAATCCACTATTTTAATTAAATTACCAAAGTAAATAAAGCATTCAATGATTTTCTCAGAAAACATATAGATGGTTTCTGGATGTTAAGAATGTTGCTGTGTTGAAGTTACTTTTACACCTACCAGGAATGTTGGTTTGCCTCTTTTCCAGAAAATCTGGATTTTAAAGGCTTTCTTCACTTTCCACACCTGCAGAAATGACAATGAATAGATTTTAAGAAAGCTGTGAAAACTGTACTCTTAAAGTGGTGAGGGAGCTTTATTTATATCACCCACTGGTTTTTAGTTTTGTCATTTTGCCTTTCATTTGAAGGCAAAAATATCTGCTATTGGGTCTTTTTATTTTTTCTTCTACTTACTATCAATCAATGCTTGCAGTAATGTCTGTCTGTGTATGTGTGTCCTTACTTCAATTATAGAGCCGATCCCAGCAGGTATGAGTACGAGGAGGCTTGTTTGCTCGTCAAACAAATAGAGGAAAATCACTATTGTGCTGAAGCATCTCCACAGCACTGAAATAAGGAACAATCAAAACGTCAGGAGGTGCAGAAACATTTCAGTCAATGACTGCAACCAAATCATAAAAATCAGACTTGAAGTCAATAAATCTAGACATCATACTATTCACAAGACTAATGGAGAAATGTTGTGCCCCTTTAAAAAAAATATATCAAGGAACTGAATTATTCTCAAAGAGTCATTTATATGCGGACACTGTTTTTCACATGGCTGCTGAAAAAATGAGTTCAACAACAGCGTAAAAGCTTTCATTCCTCTAAAATTATAAAGGTGAACAAAATGCAACATATGGCTGTTTATCAGTCCAGAGCATCCACAGATGATGCCTTGCTTGTATATTACCTTGTTTTACACATTTCTCCACAGGTCTACCGAAAATATCCTCTAGTTTCCAGTGGATTAACACATTTCCAGCTGTTCTTTGTGCAGGATTCTGCAGCGCCATATTGATGAGAGTAAAGGTGAGTGCTGTGAAGACTCCTACCTGCTTTGCTGGACATTCCCACCATGCTTTTCTTCTGCTTCCAAAAGCTGATGTCGTTTTTGAAGGCCAGGAAGTCAAACAGAAGCTGAAAAAAGAGACAGACAAATTTAAAACAGTCCTTTGCATACTCCAGTATGTTTTTTCTGTATTTAGCTCCACCCATCCTCATATTAACTTGGACCAGTCAATATGAAGTTTATGTCAAAATAAAAGATCTCCACAGCATTACGTTGCTGCTATCACAAAGTTCAGCTTCGGTCTCCACAGGTTTTCTGTGTTCCAACATTTCTTGTCATAAGCTACAAATACAATCAATAGCTTTCTTTTTCCCACTTTCAAGTAAGAAAAGTCCAGATTTGTGGAGTCAGTTAACCATGGACCTTCTTTGCGTTTTTAAAACTCACATGGAAGGCTGCGACGAAAAAGGTGAGAGCCAGGAAATACAGGTTGGTGTCCACAAAGATGCCTTTAATCTCGTCAGCATCCTTCTCTGTGAATCCTACATTTAAAAAAACCCAGACATTTCAGCTAGACATTATGGATATCACGTAGATGTCCATGAGAGCAAGTCACAGAAAGTTCAGCCTACCGAACTGCTGCAGAGAGTACACGGCATCCTGCATGTGGATCCAAAAGCGAAGTCTGCCCAGAGAGATGGAGTCATAGAAGACGGTGAGAGGGAGCTCTGAGGAAGTGCTGTTGATCTCCTACATTTTTAAACATGAAAATCATTTGAAAAAAAAAATAAATAAAAAGCCAACATTTTGATTTCCTACTACTACTACTGCTCCTGAAGTAGAGGTATGTTGCATGATGTTTGCTTAAAGGTTAAAACTCACCACGAGATCTTTGACCCTATTGCTGAGCTCGTCAACAAACAGCAGAGGTAAATACACCATTTTCTTCCCGTTCTGGAATCTAAAGCAACAACAAATACAATTATTAACAATGATTTATTTCTTTTTTTTTTTGCTTAAATCCAACCTGCATCATTATTGTTGAGATTTATTGTAGAACATTTGTGTTTTGTTATAAAAGCCCAAAGCTTTTGACACTGTATGCTTTGTTGTGAAATAATTAAGTCTCTCTCTTACACTCTGAGGTATCTGTGAACGTCGCTTGGCAGGTATTCTCTGTCAAACAGGAAGTGGTCACCAACGATGTTAAGAGTTAGACGGGAGCGCCAGTGAGAAACTGGGTGATCCGTTGAAGCAGCGGCTCCACCTTTAGCTCTCGTTCCTGCTCCAGAGCCACCATCACGCTGTTTCTTCTTCTGATCTTCCTGTTTTTGACCCTGTTGGACAAAGACAGAGGTAGTTGACTGATGAATTTCCTGCTTTTTAGATAGACATTATATTTAATGTTTTTATGTGCATGTTCAGAGAAAGAAGTTTGTCAAAAACTTTTGCCTTGATATCACTGGGTTTTAGTGCTTCAGTTGATAATCATAATATAGCAATGAAAAGATTGTGAAAGAAAAGGGACTTTCTGGTACTGTGCTAAACTGCAGCTAGTAATTATACAAAAAATAAATCACATCTGGGGTTCCTCAAGGCTACATTCTTGGCCCATTTCATTTAATATCTACATGCACCCCAAAACCAAGACTATAGAGAATTATGACCTCTCTTACCATACCTATGCTGATGAGACACAACTTTATATTTGTGTCACCATTATTATAGACACAGAATAACTGTGTCTATAATATGACTAGGTGGGTCAAAGAAAAGTTTGGGATTAGAACCTAAATTGCTTCAGCAAAGCCAATTAGTACACAGAGTCCCACTTTATGTAATTACAGACCAACTTGAATTTGAACAACCATGTTGCCATTCACTGCAACTTTCCCACAAGGCTTCAATGCATTCCTACTTTAGCTGAGCCTATGTGACACATCAAGCACATCGACCTCGTCAGAGAGGACGAGGGAACAGCAGAAAGTCACACACCTGTGTTTGATCTTCTCCAGATATCAGCGAGATCTCAGGAGGCTTTGGGACCATGTAGGTAGTGAGCTGAGCCACCAGATGGACCTGTCGTGGGTCCTGCCATGGATTGAGACCAGCTTGATGGACGAATATTAACGCATACAATGTTCCATTATTGCGCGTTTTCTTGGGGAGTGAGACGTTGACGATCCTACAGGGAAACGCATGAAAAAAATGAATTAATCAGTTTGTGTCCAAATCACAAACATGGACAGATGTTCCTTTTGATCACTGCATACTTACCTCTCAAACTTGCTGTTGACATTGAAGTCCTCCTCTTTGTGAATCAGCGTATGGCCTCCGTCTGCGTTTGGCTTCACAGAGGTGTAGATACTCAACTAACAAGCAGAAAGAGGTGTTAAACGTCACTTAAGCAAACCCAGGTGCCATGTTTGGATCGTTAACGGCAGCTGACCTCTAGTTTTGGGTTCCCTGCCAGGAAGGGCGTGATGCAGTTGTCTGCTTTAGGGCTGTCGCAGGGTTTGGTGTACACTATCCCATACATCACCCAGCAAGTGTGGAGCACATACACTACGAACACCCCAACAATCAGCGTGGTGAAGGAGGTTTTCAGAAACATGATCGACGACTCCCTCAGCTAGCTGAGCAGCAGGGCCATACGTCTGCAAAGTAAGAGTTAGAAATGAAAGATTCGGTTAAACATGGACGAATGTGAGAATTAAAGTAAAGCTTAGTAAACCTAAATAAATGCTACATCATACTATCAGGTAATTTTTTCAGTAATTCTGAACAAAAGTGGAAACTCAATAATTTTATCAGGTACACTTGCCTGAACCAAAAGCAAATCAGTCAATCATATTCCATAAACTTAGTGCATTAGGTGGGTAAAGACAACTTGCTGAGGCTCAAACTGAATATCAGGATGAAGAGGAGAGAGGGTTGAAGCGACTTTGAACGAAAAAAAAAGGAAAAAACATCCAGTGACTCACCATTATGAGGACAGAAATGCATTTCTTGTGTCAGAGCTTAGAGGAGGACCGATTCAAAAATAACAAAGGCAACTTCAAATAACCATTTGTTATAACCAAGGTATAAAGAATATCACCTCTGAAGACATGTTAAACATTGAAGCGACTGAACCACAACAGCACAAAACCACACCAGGCTGCACTACTTTCAGCTTAACACTGAAAACAGAGGCACCAATTCGCAAGGACTCATCAAAACAAAACAAAAAATCCAACTTCAATAGATCAGGAGTTCAGACTGCAGGTGGTAGCGTATCGTTGTAGCAATATCTTATTGGAATACTTTTGGATTTCTTACTATAAACTTAATATTGTCCAAAAGTCACAACCTACTGCGGGGTATTAATGTTGGCCATTTCCATCCCTTCATGACCGCAGAGTACTTGTCTTCTGATGGCTACTTCCAGAGGGGATAACACAGCATGTCACAAAGCTCCATAATCTCCAACTGGCTTTTCTTAGCATGGCAATGAGTTCACTCACTGTGCTCTGCCACAGTCACCAGATCTCAGTGTTACAGAGCACATTTATGAGGTGGTGGAACAGGAAATTCGCTTCATGGGTATGCACTATGCAGCCGAAGAATCCATTAGAACGTGTGATGAAATCATATCAACAGGGACAAAACTCTCAGAGCAATGTGTGCCATCTAGAACCAGGCAGTTCTGGAGGTAACCAGAGATTGAATACAGTAAAAAGCAAGGTGTACCTAATAAGTAAAATGGTGATTGTATAATGGATTTATAATACATTTCAGTCAATTGACAATTATTGCTTACAGCAAATGGAAAAGAGATTTTTCTAATACCAAAAACGTATTTTTTGTCAGTGCAGTGACACACGATGTGATGCTCAGGGTAAGTCACAAGTGATCATTCCCGAATAACCTAGTTGTTTACAGTGGAGTGCCTGTTTTCAAGCATATCAACCAAAACTTACGTGGAAAGAAAAAATGTGGTAGGAACGGTGCACAAGTAATGAGGAAAACCACCAATTTCAGAAAATTGTGAAATAAAGTCTGACAAATAGCTAACAAAAGATTCACAAGAAACGGAGTCTGTTACAACTGATTCATGTCTGAATCAGATAACTTTGTCTAGATATGTTCCTTATCTAAGCAAAGGAGAAAATGGAAGAATTGTTTCCCTCTTACAGTATGTTTTGGTCGCAGCAGAGAGGCACAGAAGCCAGGCTGCTTGGGCTCTAAGTGTAAAGTTTCACAGCATTTGATGAGTTGGAGAGACATTTTATATTTTAGTCTTCATCCTATGTGCTTCATTAACTCTACAGTCAGCAGAACTGTGCAGATTCTGCTGACTTTATGCAGATGCTGATTTCATTTTCGAGCAGAATTTGGCACCTGCTCAGACTCCCATAAAATACCAGTATCTGTATTTTTGTTGAGAACAGTTTCAGTAGTAGGCTTAATTGCTCACCTAAACCACACCCCACAGAGAGTCTATGAATTATTGTGAAGAGGAAACTGAGACACCAGAGCTGATAATAAAGAATTAAAGGCTCTTCAACACCTTTGACTCTGTGCACAAGTTTCACTTCTTCAGTCGAATTGCAGAAAGAATGCAACTTTTCAATCATGTCATTTATTGTACTAACTGTTTAATAAAACAGGGATTAAGAACTAGTCAAAGACATTAAATCTGATTTCTGAAGATCGTTTGTTACAACTTGCTTTTCCAGTTTGATGTTTTACAGACAACAGCAATAAAATACTCAGAATAAACTGGCTGAGCCATTTTAGCTGTCATTAACCCCAATTAGGCTGTTATTCACAATAAGGCCGTCTTCAGATTCTGATAGCAAGTCTTATTTGGTAGATATACAAATGCTTTGATGTGATGTTTAAATATCCACAAGCAATACAAACAGTGCTGTAAATCGACGAAAGCGAGAATTAATAAAATTACATTTTTTCTTCACGGACTGAACTTTAAAATGAAAGTAAAAATGAAAACCATGAACGTTACCGGTGTCAAATGTAAAGACGGGACCCTGTCAGTCACTGACTGTCCATCGGTCCGTTCCCTGCACAGATTCCTCCTGACGGATCACAGCGACCGCATTGTGTTTCTGAAGCCTTCCTCTGGTCTTTACTGAAGGCATCAACTGCCTGTTTCGCTGCTCACTCCTTCCAAAACGCAAAATATCACAAAATCCTGACTGAAAGCGTGAGACAGAGCTGTGTTTCCGCCATTCGCTTCCTGGTCGGGTTGCTTCTGCGAGATTTGGGGTGGAAGTATCGCGAGACTTAACGTACAAGCAAGTCACGGGGCCACTCTTTAATTTAAAAACGGTAGCTCTGACGTGTCCTTTGGTATGTTTACTTACCTTATTTAAAGTGACACAGACAGTTATGCGTCGTTTCATTAATTGAATAAAGGTCTATTTCAGTGAATTTTATAAAATGAAGTATTTATGTTATTATAATAACAGATCATCTGATAAGTTTGACAGCTTCTTTCTCTTCCTTTTTTAAAAATGTGTTTTATTCTCTCTCTACTATTTATGTATTTTATTTATACACATATGAACTAACTTTTTGTTATTTTTTTCTTATGGCTTGGATAAGCTATCCACTTTGCTCTCAGTTACATACATTTAAATCTAAATAGACAAACTCGGTGGGAAGTGAAAAATGACCTTTTATCTTTGCTTATTTCTAGGGCTCATCAAAGAAACTGTCTCTGTATCGGCAAATGGAAGGTAAAGTATACATAGTTTGTGTTCTGGATGTGTAGAGATGTTTGAGGCCCTGACCTGTGCACGTTTTGCAGAAATGATCAGCTCCGATCATCCTCTCTGCAGACCTGATTGGTACCGGCCTTGTCCTGTTTGCGGCCAAAGCTGAATCATCTTGATCTCTACTCAACACATTGAAGTTGCTGCTGAGACAACAAACAAAACAGTTTCCCCAATAAATCATTTAATGCATGTTTGCTGTCTTCTCCTGGTGATTTTCTATTCGGAGTCTTGGTTTATGTAATTATCTACGTTACGCGTGAGTCCAAAACTTGCCGTGACCCGGATTCGAACCAGGGTCTAACCACTATATGATCACGGTTGGCTGTGAATACAATAGTATGATGACACTGACTGAGACCTCTGCAGAATACAGCGGGGCAACATGCAGATTGTTGTTTTTGTGGCTAAAAATGATAAAGAATCAACTAATGTTTCTCAATATAAATACCAAATGCCTGTTTAAGCAGTTTTTCATACATTAAGTTGATTTTTCACGACAAAATGACGCAAAAAAACACCAGTGATATTGTTTTAAGTTCTATTTTATTTTGTAATTAAGTAGAAAATGATGTGCTTTATTTTTATTTTATTTAATTATTTTAATTTTCTGATATTAGTTTAAAAAATTATCTAAAGTAGTAAATGATGAATCCATGTTGTTAAGTGATCTATAATTGTGGCATTAAAAATACAACATTTTGATTATTTTACTAATATTTCTCTACAGTAATTGAAGCGTCCAACACACAATAGATATGATGGGTTTAGTTGTTGATGTGGAGAATTATTATTATTTAAAATCTTTCCTAATTTACATTGACATGTAATATTAACGTATCACTAGCTTCCAAAAAAGCTAGTGATACGTTTTTTTTTTTTTTTTGCCCATATGACCTTTTGGGAAAAAAGAGGTGGTGACTTTTTGTTTTTGTTGCCAAAATCACTTTTGGAAAAAAAATTACATTGATTGTCATTTCAGGAGGGTACAATATTAATGAAACATTCTTGTGTTTTGAATAATTATAACAAAGCTTCCATTACTAAAATCATCATCTATAAATCTATGGTGTTATAGAGAAGAATTACACAAAATATGAATTACTTTAATGTTATTTTAATGAAATGAAGATGAATCACAAAATCTTGATTTGCACTTTTGTTCCTGACACAGAATGACCTGCCAGCATTTTTCTATAATTGTTTGTTCATAGGAGATTTTTTACAAATACACAGCAAAGCATCTTATATCACTCTGTTTTCTTAATCAGACTGTATCAAAGTGGACTTTCATTTATTGAATATTTAAGAATTAGTATGAAAGAGGTTCAGTTTCTGTGACCAAAGCTTGAGCTTACCAAGGAAGTTTCAGTATTCAGCTAACGGATTTGGTTGCCACCTGGGAAGAGCTTCTATACGAATGGGAGGAAGAAGATGTGTGTGTTTCTGCACACACTATCAGGCTACCTGACAGCAGTTTGGATGATGACCTCAGTGTCAAGGAGGGTAACAAAAATGACAATCCTTTCAAAGAATGCTATGACATACAGTTGGATAGTCTCCATAAAATATCAGGATTGGACAGCGGAGGACTGTTGCAAGAAATGATCTTCCGGGATGAACCTTCAGACTTTTTGAGACACTGGAAACACAGAATCCTCATTCCAGCAACGATTTCCTTCACCCGTTTGGTTTTGTCTTGTCAAAAAGAGTGGGCTCCTCAATATTTTACAAAAAATAACACGTGTATAAAACTGTCAAAATATCTTCCAAGAGTATGGCTGGGCCTGCAGAGGTGAAATACTTATGTGGCTCCATCGGCTTCCCTAAAAGACAAAGTAGCTCCAACAAAACTAGAGAAAAATAGTTTGTAAAAAAAATGTATTATATTTTATTTCCAAACCTTTGGCCACAGCTGTACTGATGACTTTTTAACAAACATCGATATAGTTTCATGTGTCATATTGACATCTTAGAAGCTGTTTCTGTTCTTTTCTCTGGTTGAAAATGAAAGACTGCATATGAAAGTAGATTCCTTATTTTTTACTTTCTATCACAGCGATGTCGAGGGGTTCACTTCTTTTATTTTTCCTGCAGAAGGCGATAGCTTTGTCTGTACTGTGTACATGTGCAGCTTCATGTTTTGGGGATTTCAGCACAGGTTGCTCTAACAAAGCACAACTGTCAGAGTTTTCATTGTTGTGTCAAAAACAAATGACCAAGGGACAGAAGTGGCTGCACCAGTAGATAAATGCGCAAAATTAAAGCTGATCAGATTCAAGCGGTTTCTCAACTTCTGTGCAATTTTGAGTATGTTACTTAATTACAGATCTGATTTGAAATGCAATGTAAATTCTTTCATCGCCACATTTGGGTATAATGTAAGCTGGGAAAGACTTAATGGCTTTCTTTTTCTGGTTGAAAATGAAAGAGATCATCTTTCATATTGCATTAAAATCTACAGAGGAGCAAACTTTTTTTTTATTATTTTATGGCTGAGAACAAAATAGCTGGTCAAAATGTGCACTTTCAAACACACACACTCACATAAACAAGTGGTATCCTAACCTCAGTCTCACTGACGTCCTTGAGTCTCTCACCGTTTTTCTTGCAGCCTCACTCCTTGACATCCAGCAGTTTACCACTAAACTGAAGTGTCTTCTGTGTCAACTCGGGCCTATAATTTCTGCGAGAAATCCATAAAACCTCAGTGACTCAGCCATCAGGATATTGTACATGGGGCTTACAGTAGATTTGAGTACCATCATCCTGAAAGTGCTCTGTGGGCAAATTTCCCAACTGAACATCACTTCATAAATCTGCAGCCGCATATCATTAGTTTTCTCTAAACCTGTATGACCCCAAGTCTCTCAGCTCCCCCTACAGTAAAGGCATCATCTTTCACTGTCTGTCAAATGGTTTGCCTTTGAAGATGAAGTGTGTGTCTTGGGGTTTCAAAAACGCCTGCAAAAGGTCATATTTTACCAGAGGTAGGCTAAAAACTGCAGATAATGACATCCATCCATCCATCCATCCATCCATCCATCCATCCATCCATCCATCCATCCATCATCCATCCATCCATCCATCCATCCATCCATCCATCCATCCATCCATCCATCCATCCATCCATCCATCCATCCATCCATCCATTCATCCATCCATTTTCTTCCGCTTTTCCGGGGTCAGGTTGTGGGGGTAGCAGCTTAAGAAGGGAGGCCCAAACTTTCTTCCTTCTCCCAGCCACTTTTTCCAGCTCTTCCAGGGGAATCCCAAGGCGTTCCCAGGCCAGCCGGGAAACACAGTCTCTCCAGTGTGTCCTGGGTCTTCCCCGGCGCCTCCTCCCGGTGGGAGGTGCCCGGAACACCTCACCAGGGAGGCGTCCAGGAGGCATCCTGACCAGATGGCCGAGCCTCCTCATCTGTCTCCTCTCGACACGAAGGAGCAGCGGCTCTACTCTGAGTTCCTCCCGGATCACTAAGCTTCTCACCCTCTCTATAAGGGAGAGCCCAGCCACCCTATGGAGAAAACCCATTTTGGCCACCTGTATCCGCAATCTCGTTCTTTTGGTCATGACCCAAAGCTCTTGACCGTAGATGAGGGTGGGAACATGGATCGGCCAGTAAATCGAGACCTTCGCTTTTTGGCTCAGCTCTCTCTTCACCATGACGGTCCGGTACAGCGCCCGCTTCACAGCAGATGCTGCGCCAAACCGCCTGTCAATCTCCTGCTCCTTTCTTCCCTCAGTCGTGAACAAGATCCCAAGATACTTAAACTTGTAATCTCTTACAAAACCATACATTTTCTTTGAGTTTAAATGTAAGCCAAAAAGGTTATTGATGAGCCAGTTTGAGAACACAACACTGTATCAAAAAGCAAAGGTGACTAAGAAAATTGACCTGCTGACATTATCGAGAATAAGAAAGCAAGAAAATTAGCATTTGCAGCACGACTACGTTTTGCAAAACTGAGCGAATAGAACAGACTATATGTGTAATTTTTGATAGAAACTTTACCTCAAGAGCATTAGAGATGTGTGAAATGCAAAGAAAAGTGTCACCTTTCAAGAAATATGACAGGGAAATGGGCAAAACCTCCAAATGTATTCTCTTCCCATTTACCTGACAGACATAATTAAAGATTTGAATCACCCAAATACCTGTGATTTAGCTGCTCTCTTCCCTAAGGAAATTGGAGTTACATACATTAGATAAACTGCAGCCGTTCTTGTCCCTTTTCAGCCAGAGAAGAGACAGTAATCCTTAGGCAGACTCTTCTAAATTTTTCTCAGTCTTAGTTTGGGGCAAAAGGTGAGGCAGGGGATTTGTCTCTTAGGGTCAGATGCAGTAAAACATTTTTTGATAAACTAATGTCATTGCTTACTGTCCTTTTTGATGTTGTTCATTTACTCTGCTTGCTTACAGTTGTAAATCTCAAATCTCAATTTTTGTCTGGGCAGCAGAGG